AAAAACTAGTGTTTTATTATTAATTTGCTTTACAATTTGAATAAATTAATCAAAAGAATTAAAATATCCTTGATGCTTAAAATAGATAATAGCAGCAGATTCGTATAAATCTTTTAATTCTATTGAATTAAATGGATAATTTTCATATTGAATAGAATCCTTTAGTACATCTTACTTTTCATTCAAACTTTGAAAAGTCTCTTAAATTATCTTAATCAATTATTATTCCTATTTAAATTCAAAGATGCCTTTTAAATCTTCTTATTTATAATTTGAAAGATTCTATTATTTATGTATGGTTAAAGTTTAAAACCCTTTTTATAATCGATATTATTTGAACAATTCTATTAAAATAGCTTCTAAAGGTGTTACATCATGTTTTTATTTTATATATTATTGAATAAACAGTTAAACCTTCTTTAAATCCTCTTTATTTTCTACATATTAATCAGATACATCAAGATTTCGATCAATTTAAGTTTATGGATCAATATTTTTTTAATTTTGACAATAATCAATAAATTTGTATTTAAACTATTCAAATCCTTATTAAAGTTCTTTTTCATATATTTTATAAGGCTTATTTGATTCAAAAAAATGAAAAATGGATGGGATATCATGACAAAAATTAAAAATTTAAGTAATTAGTTCAACAATTTACATTTAGTCTTCTTTATTTTTATTTAATAAAGGAAATGAATAAAATAGTTGATAATCTAAAACTGATAGTTTCAATAGTTCTAATCTTTGATTATGTTCTTAATTGAATATTAACCAAATATGATATTAATTGATTTTTTCATTTTCATAATTCAGTTTTTCTATTAGAAATATCAATTTTTCAATAAGTTTAAATACCTATCCATGTAACAATCTAAAAATAAGAGATTACTAAAATGTAATTCTATATGAAATACAGTATATGAAATTAATTCGCTCAAAGGAATACAATGGACTCTATCAAATTCCAATTTAATTATGTCATTCATTTCTTCTTCTTGAGAACTTACAATTCTTACACAATATGGCAATGTAGCCATTAATAAATCAATATCAACCTCACTCTTTTTATAATACTGATGGGTTTTTATCTTGAGAATGTTCATATTTCAAATTTTTTAATGAAAAATTATTTCTATTAAAAATAATAAAATCAGAATAAAGGATATAATTATGAACCAAGCCTTACCAATCTTACCATCATAAATTAATAATACAATATTGAAAAGGATGCCTAATAATGACTTAATTTTAGAGTATCAAATTCAATAGAATACTGATTGTAAAGATGCATATGAATGGGATCTTAATGCATCTTAATTACATCAAAGTGCATTAGCATAAATCGTGTCTGTTGATTTTAGGATAGGGACTATAGCATTAAGCTATGAAAAATAATAGTTACTTAATACAGCAATAAGAAATAATAATTAGCTTAATTAATTATATATTCTATTCCAATTATTAGAGGCATGCTATGAATTACATAAGAGATTTTCATTAGGAAGATGCTTATCTACATCCGCAATAGAGATAGATCCAAATTCTAAGATTAAGATTTATAGATATGGATTTAGTCATAATTTAATGAATAAGGATGAACTCATACAATTAGCTCCTGAAACTATATTCGAGGATAAGGTTTAAATTAGTAGCGATATCTGGCTTATAGGAATGATTCTCTACGAATTAGCTTTTAAGAAATCGATTTCCTAATTCAAATATCCAGATTAATTGTCTTAATATAAAAATTTCATAAGAACATCCATGCAGAATAATACATTTGATAATTTGCATTGCAACTTTGTTGATCCTAGAATTTCGATAATATTGTAATTACTTTTAATTTTTGATGCAGAGGCAAGAGTAGAATCATACTAAGCAGTAATTCTAAATTTGAAAGAGTATTTTAATATATGATATTCTAGTTTGTTGCCTCAACACAAAGCAAAATTGGATGAAATATTGAGATTCTATGAAAACGATATAACTCATATAAATATAAAAATTAATTCAAGAAGTGAGAAAAGAGACCCTCCAAATAGATCAAGATAAAGAAATGTTAAATCAAAATCACTTGGTAACAAATAAATATACTATGAGAATTTACTTCATGCTAATTGTAGAATCATTAATCAAAAAGTATTAAAGTATGCTTACACTTAAAATGTCTAAAATGTTGATACAATTTATAAGTTAAAAATACTGCATAGTGAAAATCAAAATGTATAAAACATTAATTTATGCTAAAATATCAACTTTTAACTATATCAAATCTCATTTTTGATTAATTTAAGATAATTAATTGCTTCTTTAACAAAAGAAACAGAACTTATGATTTTAGATAAATATTTATTTGTAAAAACTGAGTAAATAGTTGATTTACTAATAAATAATATTAAAAACATTAAGAGCATTTTGTTTACAACAGAATTAAATCATATTTAGAAATTATTAGGTCAAATAAAAACTAATTATTCAGATATAAGCAAAATTTCTGATCGCCTTCCTGCAAGATTTTTATAGACTTCATTAGAAAATTAAATTAAATAATTCTAATAAGTTCTTAAAAATAATAACCTTACTAAACAAATTGCTACATAAATTAGTTTAAGATTATTAATTGCTTAGGATATTGAACATTATTTAGCTGACAAATCATCAGTTAATTTATTTTTCTTTCCAATGAAATTCTATCTGGGTTTGAGTGAAATTACAGAGCCTGAAGAAATTGAAAGATATCTACAAAGATCTACGATCAGCTAATAAATTTACATGTAAAATCTCCTAATGAAGTACAAATAATAGCAGCAAATTTAATGATTTAGCAGTATTATCAAAATATTTAATAACGTATTATTTATAATTATTATTTTTTTTATTCTAGTTCCAAACTTTGAATTAGTTAGGTTCTTGATTTTGAAAATATATAGTTAATCGATGTAAAGTTAAGTTTGTTTTCTATTCTCAAAAGCATAATAAAAATTAATAAATTATTAAAATTAAATTTTTAATATTTGCGATCATTGATTTAAAGGTATCAAGGAAAATTCTAGGATTTGATTAGCTTTTTAAGTAAGAAATTTTAGTTTGACTAATAGAAAATATTAAACGAAAGAAGGATCTATTTTAAAAATTAAATGAATCATACGTTTAAAAAAACAGGAATAGAATTTTGACATGAGTAACAAAGGATAGATTTAATGAATAGTTTAACTAGAATTAGAAATTAAAATAAAGTTTAGAAATGAATTTAAAGGATACAATTAGGTAAAAATTTCAATAATTAGAAAGTAATATAAGAAATAAATGCAATTTAAAAGCAAAACTCAACCTTATATCTGAACTAATTTTTAGATTATGAGATATTTCAATTCATTCATAAATTTCTAAATCTAAAAGAGTTGAGGAATATCAGGAGATTCACTTAAAGATTAATATAATTTAAAAAATAATTCAGCTGATATGTTATTTAGAGGGCCAGAAGATGATGCTTTAAAGGAAGAAAAATTTTAGGGAGAATAGGATATTTTGATTCAATTATTTCAAACTTAATGAAAGATATAAAAAGATTATAATAATGATTTTGAGTTAAAATGAAAAGAAGTAAATTTAAATAAATTTATTAATATTTATGAATTTATAAATGTAAAGCGCGTAATATAACTCATAAAATAAAGAAAAGTAAAGTTTAAAATGAATTTATGAGAAGAATTGTAAATGTTTTTCCTCGACAAATTTGTAGATTTGAATTAATATATAAAATATCATTTTTCACCTAAATATAATAAAAAAGGGAAGATACAGAAAATAATTTCTCATTTACGGTTAGATGGCAGTTATGATGGTTAGGATAGAGAACTTACCTAAAAGATAAATTAAAATAAAATGTAAAGTATTTTTAACCAAGTGAATTTAATTGTCAATATAGTAAATTTATAGAAAAACGCACAGTTTTTTTCTGCTTTAATTCTTAAGTGAGAAGTTAAGGATTAAATTCATTATTATGAGTTAATAATTTTAAGTGAAAGGCACCAAAGCAACATATATAATTTATGATAAGGTACTTGGAAAAGGAGCCTACGGGGTTGTTTTACTAGCATAGGCTGTAAATTCTGTTAACTAGTTTGCGGCAAAAATTGTAAAAAAGTCAATTTTCATTATTTAAGATAAGCAAAAAATCGCTCAGTCTAACTGATATAGTGAATTTGAGGAACGAAATAAATATACAATCAAAGTTATCTCATCCTAATATTGTTTCAATGGTTGATGCTTTTGAAGATAACGAATACTTATATATGTTACTCGAATATTGTAATGGAGGATGTTTATTCACCAATATCCAACTAAGTGGGCCATTAAGAGAAGAAAAGGCTTATAAATACTTTGTTCAAATCGTATAAGCTGTACAATATTTACATTCAAAGAATGTTCTTCATAGAGATATCAAAGTAACTCAATATATTTATCATAGTTATCCAACCTACTTTTAACCCACGAAGATCAGATTAAATTGGCAGATTTTACATGGAGCACATCTATTTCGATGGGTTACGTGGCTCCTTAAATATGTGGTACACTAGAATATATGCCCCCAGAAGTGATAAAAAATGGTTTTTAAAATGAAAAATTAGATATTTGGAGTTTGGGAATAGTCCTCTATGTATTTAAATGAATTATTCTTTAAGGAAATGCTTCATAATGATCTTCCTAAAAATGGATAGTTTTTTATCAAACATGGAATTAGTGAAGAATGCAAATAACTGATGAAACAGATGTTAGAAGTGGAAACCTACAAAAGACCTTCAACTTCAGACGTGCTTGCTAGTTCATGGATCAAAAAATTTTAGAGAAATAACGGGTTAACAATCAACACTTGTAGAAGTCTTTCTGGAATTACAGATAAATTAGGATCTCCTCAAAAGACTACTTTAATGGGATCTCCAATGGGATCTCCATTGAGGACTGCCTTTGGTTCGCCCTTTGGATCGCCTATGACATCACCTTTAAATTCTCCATTGGGCAAATGCACATTCGGGTCGAAACACGTGCCAACTGAGCCAGTCTCAAAATAGAGAGTTAGCACTCATAAACTTTGCTGAGTTTTAACTTTATATCTTTCTATACAAACAAATCAATTATTCATAATGGCAAATTGGGTATGATGCACAAGTATTAAAAAAACTTATTTAATTTTATAAACTAATTGAATTAATACTACTATGTCATTACAGTTTTTGTTTCTCTAAAAAAATATTATGTTCTAGATCTATTGTAAATCATACAAAAATGAGTTACTTCAAGAGAGTCTTCTTCAAGTTTCTTAGTTCATCTATCAAGATTCGAAAATAAATGTTAGTCATTAAAATTGAGGACTTTATTTCTAAATTAAATTTTAATACATTTCTACAAATATTGACTTCTTTGAGATTTATAATAAGTTTAAGTTAATGATTGATTTGACTTTTACATAAATCTAATCGATATGTTTCTTAAATATACTCTTTCATTTTAATTAGATTATGTGTTGGACCTGTTATTTTGATAATTCTGCCAATAATTCCTTGTTGATATAGGAATTCTTTCCACTTATCTTCAAATTTGTAGCCCTAAATTAAGAATGATTTGTATACCTTTTACTCTCATTTTATTATTAAAATAAACAACATCTATTTATAGTGTAATTAAATAATGAATTAATTTCGATATTAATCAATAAAAGTAAAACAATTAATTATAAATAATACTATGATTAAAAAATTACCTTAAGAAGTAATTAATAAAATTGCGGCAGGGGAAGTAGTTTAAAGACCCTATTCAGTTGTAAAAGAAATGGTTGAAAATTCAATAGACGCCCATGCATAAAATATCACAATTTATTTAAATAATGCAGGGTTAGATCTAATCAGAATTATTGATAATGGAGATGGAATTATGAAGGAAGACTATGAATTGTTATGTGAAAGATATGCTACAAGTAAGATTCGAGCTGCAGAAGATTTATTTCAATTATTCTCATTTGGATTCAGAGGAGAGGCCCTGGCTTCAATATCATTTGTTTCTGAAATGACAGTGATCTCTAAAAGGAGAGATCAAGTTTTAGGATACAAAGGCACATACAATAGTCAGAAACTGTTGAGTATGTGTCCTATTGGATGCTCAGATGGTACAGAAATTTAAATAGCGTAATTATTTTATAATTTGGAAAAAAGGAGGTAAGCTTTGAATAAATCAGAGGAGAAAAAATCTATATTGCAATTAATTTAGAGCTTGAGTCTTCATCACTCTTCAGTTTAGTTCAAATTATTTTATGAGAATAAATGTGAGTTCTCATCTTTCAGTAGATTGGATACAATTTCATCTATTATGAAGATTAACTAATCATGCATTTAAGAGAAATCTTTCAATTCTGATATGTATAAATATGAATCTCATCTGATATTTACAAAATTGAGTTCTGTTAAATACAAGAGGGAACTATGCCTATTCATAAATGACAGATTTGTTGATTGTGATACTCTGAAAAAGAAAATCACTCAAGCCTATTAAGATTGCTACTTGTGCCTACGAGTTGAAGATGGAGGATATTATGTTTATATAAGCATAAAATTGCAGCCAAAGGACATAGATCCAAATGTTCATCCAAATAAAAAAATAGTAAGGTTTTTGAATGAGGATGAAATTAGTACTGAAATATCGGAAAAATTGAAATAGGAATTATCCCCCTAATAAACAGTGAAATTAGTACAGACTGTGTTATTCCAACCAAAGTCTCAGGAAGAACAGAAAAAGAATAGTTTTAGCTTTAAGTAATCAATTTAGAATCAGCAACAATATTAAAAAGAGAAGGTCAGAATTGATCCAAAGACCTAGACGTTATTATAATAATTTGCAAAAAAGTCTCAGGCTTAATTGTCATAGAGCTTACACAGCATGATCCCAAATACTTAATCCCAAAAAATAGAAGAAGAAAGTAATTCAATTATTGATGAAAGTATAAATATAAAGTGTGAGAACCATAATTTGGATGATGAATTAAACAAAAATTAAAGTGTAAAAATAAATTAAGCAAACTAAGGATCTAAAATTTAAGAAGAAAAACAGCAGATTTAGGTTTCTAAAACACAACGCTTTAAACTTTCTGTTGAATCCTAATTAGAATTATTTAATATTTTATAGAAAAAGCATCATAAAGAAACTTAAGAGTTTTATAAGAATATCTCCTTTGTTGGATTATTATAAGATTAATAACAATTACTAATTTAGAATGATACTAAACTGTGTCTAATAAATGTAATTCCTATGATATTTAATATGATTATTGTTTAAATAATGCAAGGAGAAATACCAGAAGGAGTCCTGCTAATAGAGAGATAACCAGATTCATTATTACGAATAATTTGCTTAGATTCATAAGAGTATTTTTTGCAGATTAATGAAAATGATATTGAAACAACAATTTAGTTGGCTGAATACTTGTCTTTACTAAATTACAGTAATGAATTTATTAAAAATTTTGTGCTGCCCTTTTTCAAGAAGTACAGTGTTTCAGTAATATAAAATGATGTTCAGGTAGTTCTAAGATTGGAGGATTTGTATAAATATTTTGAAAGATGTTGAAATTGAGTTTTTTACTACATGTTAATCTATATTGAATTATCATATATATATAATTTTAGAAGATATATTCATGTTAATATGTTTAATTTAATCTTGATAATCATTAATTAGATTAAAAATATTGAGAATACAATGTAAATGGGAAACCAAGTTTTTGTTTTTACTTAACAAGATTTCTAAAAATGTTTTGTAGTCAACTTAAACCCTCCTTTGGGTTAAGGACATGATGCAAGAGTCTATTTGGCTATGCACAAAAAGACAGGTGAAATGTTTGCTTTGAAAGTCTTAACCAATCTGTCACAAGATCATATCATAAATCTCTAGGTTTTTTTACATGTTATTTAGCGAACGAAATACAAATACTTAAACGCATTGATAATCCAGGAACAGTACTATTGAAGGGTCATTCTGAAGATTATACTTGTGTTCTTTTGGAGTACATGCCTAATGACACATTTTTAAAGATATTAAAAAAGGGGCCTTTCCCATTCCCTTTAGCAAAGACTCTGTCAGGCTATCTAATTAAAGTCTTAGGAACTCTTCATACTGCTGGAATTGCTCATTGTGACATAAAGCCAGAAAATATTTTGATTGCCGCTGATTATAATCTCAAATTGTGTGATTTTGGGTTTGCGAGACTCTCAAATTCTAACTTAAGGCCTGCTGGAGGAACTCCTGGATACACAGCACCAGAATTATACATCAATGAAACAATGAATTTTTTTAAATGTGATATTTTTGCTTTGGGTGTAGTATTGTTTATAATAGCAATGGGATTCCCTCCATTTTAAACAAACGATCCCAATGCAAGAGATGGGTGGTGGGCGTTAATCTATAACAAATAATATGATTTGTTCTGGAGTAAATGCGAAAGTTTTAGATAGCAACAATTTCCTATTGAATTTAAGACTTTGATAATGTCGATGTTAGAAAGCGACCCAAATAAGAGGATATCGTTGGATAAATTGGTAGAGCATGAATTCTTAACGGGGGGAGCTACTGAGGAAGAAGTATTGGTGGAGATCGAGAAAAGAGTGAAGGAATAATTATGATTATTATTAGAAACATATTAAATAACCATTTATTCTAAATTATGATTCATATTAGTAATTGTATTTTAAAATTACATTCTAATTTTGGATTCAGTTTTATGTGTGTATATAAATAATGCCTCTCAATTTTTCGAGGGAACTTAAAAATCTAAAGGTTAACTCATGGAGAATTTCCACTCAATGTATGATTGTAGAATTTGTTATTATCTATCAATGAATAAGTGCATCACTAAGATTAACACATTATTATTAATTTATTATCTATGCAAAGGCCTCTCAAACCAATAACCATATCTTAACCCATAATTCAAAGAATCGAAAGCACAAGATCAGATTGCTCTACTGACGAAGATCTTAGTTATATTGAAACATTGAGAGCTGAAGCTCAAAATCCTATGATAAAGAACTTCACGGGAATTGAGTGCCTTGTTGATGACATACATGATTTAGAAGAATTCCTTAATTCTCTTGATTGAAACCACTGATTACAAGGGAAATGCAATTTGTGGCATGAACCTTGGTATTGACTGATTATAATACATAAACTTTTAATCAAAAACATTCTTCAAAATCTTACTTACGACTTCCTACTGACAAGGCCTTGGTAATGACCAACAACTAATTATCCTATTGCCCTTGATTATAAAATAAAAAGGAAAAGCTCCACTTATTTTATAATGAGAACTTTTTGTAATTTATACATCCATCCAATATATAGAATCCAAAGAATCAAAGCATCAAATCATCGAATCCTCATGATTCATAATTGCGAACTTTTAGAATTTTCATAGGTTCTCTATATGTTATCATAAATGGATATATATTGAAAAATGTATATGCATCAGTGATTTTACAATATAGAACAACAACCAAATGAAGTTAATACAACATTAATGGGATCGTTTGATGTTAGGATTGAAGAAATTAACATTTATAGACTTGTAGAAATGTGAAATATCTGAAGTTTAATATTTCTAGAGTATTCTAAACTATTATAATTTTTATAATTTAAATTAACCATTTAAATATTAGATCAATAATTTAAACGACATTTTTATGTCTATTTAGGAAGACCAAAATATTTGTTATTATAACTATCCAGTTAATTGATGAATATTTAAAATATAAAATGATCAATCTGAATAATCATCATCCACTAATGACAAGGTCTGATTAGTTTGATTTAGGTTCTCCTACTTAACTGTTACATTTTCGTTATCTTCCTCTTTGTGTATGGCAACCTTTTCTCCGTCCTTTTCACAGCAGACCTACTTTTTGATAAACTTTGGTTTCACTAATTACGTCGCTTATTTTGGTTATGATTGAACTACAACTTATTTTAAATGCTGAGTAACACTATGCATAGTTTTATCTCTTAATATTAATATATTAATTTACTCGTTTTCATTGACATCAGACAATCTCTAAACTTTGAATTAGTCTTTATATTCTTTTTATTTTTCCCATTCTTCTTATAATTCTAGGGCATCTAAATCATAAAACAGTTATTTAAGCAACATGTCAGGAGTAAATTAAGTTTATCTTCTATTGAGTTGGTGAGTGTCATCAATGGCATCCAAGATGTCCATTTCTTTTTTTGAATCATGGGTTTTATTTTCTAAGAATTTCATGGAATCGCCTTGTTCTTCATTGGCTCTCATTTATTTTAAAACTTCTTCGGCTGCTTTGGCATCTCTGTAGGGATCATAGTTTCTCGTTCCTCCTCCTTCAACTATGTAATCATGATTTCGAGGATCAGTTTTAAAAGTGATTTCAGCATAGCAATAACTAAAGAATAGATTTAATTGTGTACGTGCATTTAAAGTAGAATCGATGGATGAGAATACCTAGATAGTTTTCAGTCCACACGGTCTCCTTTCTCATATTGAATTTGGTTCCAATGTAGAGATAATTGCCACAATGATTGCATTTGACAGTCATGGGAAGCATGTTTCTGACATTATCCTATTTACCTTTGGGACGATGATTGTTTGGTAGTAACTTAGGATCAAAATCAGGTGGATAATATTTAACTAGAACTTTTCTTTCTGCCATTAAATAATAATTTTAATGATAGAGATCTAAAAAATTATTAAGTCAACCCCAGGTGATAATTCGAATAAGACTACCTAGAATAAAGTCAACCACTCAACTAAGCCTAATAATAATTCGGAAGTGCAAAAGGACTTTCTAAAATTGTAAGCAATACTTGATTCAAAACCTAAATCTGATAAAACTTCGAAATCTAATGCTCCTCCTAAGGTGCAGCAACAAAAAATCCCCGAATTAAAGATCAAAGAGCAAAATGGACAGAAACAAAATAATAATGTGATAAACAAAAAGCATCCTGAATAGAAAAAATAAACAAATGAGCCTATAGTAAAGCAAAAGGATAATGAAAAAATCAAATCAAAACATGAGATTTCTAAATTTGAAAACATTTAAAAGCAAATTAAAACCAACCCTCAATAAATACCAAAATAGAAGGAAGAGAAGGAATCTTCTTATTAGCCATTAAAAATACATAAGCCCTTGATCAAAGAAAAGGTTGCTTCGAAAGATGAAGATGAATTAAATGAGAATGGAAATCAGATTGTAATCTAAAAGAAAAATCAGCCAAACACTGAGAAGCAGGAATTGCCAAAAAAGATTCATGCAGAAGTCCAAAAATAAGCAGCTCCTTCAATTTCAGGACCGTCTAATTAGTCAACATAATAATAATAGTAACCTAAGAAGGATCTTGGAGATCTCAAGTTAATGGAATTATTATAAAATTCATCCAAAACCAATACGAAGAAGAAGAGCAAAAATAAAGATTAGAAAGAGCAAGGAAAACTAAAGGATTCAAAACATTAAAGCCAATAACCAAATTCATCTGTGAAAAAGGACAAAATCAAGGATTTATAGAATTAAAAATCAAAGCCTTTTCCTATTAAACCATAAATCAAAGACTTAAGCATGTAGAAAATCAATAAACAAAAGAACTTAGTTAATGATGATTATGATTTGAATGATTCCTTTATAAATGATTCGGAAAGTGTAGACGTGGAGATAGATCCAAATGAAATAGTCAGCGAATTAAAAAAGTTACAAAGGTATTTCTTGAGTTTAAATGTGTAGAAAAAAGGAAGGAAGAAAGTAGAGCGATTTCGAAGATGATATTGAAGAGGCAGGGTTCGACATCATGTAGAAAGAGGAGAAGAAATCCAGAGTCTTGGGAATTATAGATGACTACAGAGAAGAGAAGTACATAAAGAAGGAGATAAAAAAAGAGAAAAAACAGAAAAAAAAGTTGTTGGAAATGAAAAATAAATAAGAGAATAAAAAAGACTGATGAGTAATAAATCTATAATTTTATCACATAAAAACAAATAAATTGAATACTGATTTTTAAACAATGATAAATATAATAAAAAATTGTTCATTTAGTTATTGCTTTTATGATATCCATTGTAAATTCAGGTTCAGGTTTTCTACTTACAACTTTAGGAGAACTAAAGATGTCATCATCATCTCTTTCTTCAAATGACATGACATAAACATGAGTTTGATTTCTATAGAAATGAAGACAATTATTACTATTGATTGAAAATCATATTTCCCTTGTGTCCTCCAATAATCCACAATTCATTTCCACTTCCCATGGTATCGGCAGCACAATAACATCTTGGAATGGGTATGGTTCCATGTATTTTAGGTTTCGTCCTAAGATTAAATTAATAAAAATATAGTACCAAACCAAAGTTTCAGGATTGAAATGATAGAGATCGCCGAGAATATCACTTGAATGCTCACCTCTTCCTCCATAGATGAACAAGTGGCCAGCCAAAGCACTTCCTAAATGTCCATGTCTTGAGGAAGGGGGTTCTCCCTTCATAACTGGAGTCAAATTGGCCCAACTGGCTTCTTTTGAGAAATCCAGAATCCACAAATCGTTAAAATTTGGAGTGTAGTGTCCTTCAGGAAGGGACTGCCCTCCAAAGATGTACAGTTTGTCTTTGATTTGAGTGGCAGAGTGGGCAGACCTTGGGGGAGGCTTGAGTGCATGCTCATCTAGATCATAACTATTTTTAGGTTGAGATAAATACTGTGTCCACATCATGGTGGTTAGATCAAGACAATAAATATCATTGTATGTCTTCTGCACTTCAAGATCATGGCTACAGTAGTATCCTCCAAAGTAAATTAACGATTAGTAGTTGGAAAGCAAAGTCAAAGAGGCTTTTTCTCTTGGAGAGGGGAGTTATCCTTTGGGTTTGCTTTGGATCCAAGTTTTTGAGGTTGTGTTGTAGACATAATAATCATCAAAGACTTTGTCTGAATTGAGTCCGCCATAGTAAATTATCTTATTCCCATATTTGATTGCACTAATTTTGGAGGATAGATTTACTTATGGAATGCTCTTGGATCAGGGATGGGTCCTTTGGTGTCCTCTACTACTCTAAGTTCTTTGGTTCTGGGATTGAGGATGTGGAGATCATTTTTAAAGTTATGGCCTGTTCCTCGACCACCGAAAATGTAGAATTCATTTCCAATGCCTGTCATAGTTAAGCCATGAATTCTTTCGTATTTCTTTTGGATTTAGTATTGAGTGAAGTAGACATTGTCATAGTTTTGGGGGTGATAATGGAGTTATTTTCGATTGACATGAAGAATGTTATTTTTGGATTAGAAATTATTATCGGTTGTGGGCAGAGTCTCATCATAGACATATTATCCTGCAATGAGAAATTTGTACTGATATGAACCAGGTGCCAGATGTAAATACGCGTAATTGATGTACTTCTTAGCGAAACCCAAAAATTTTCTATTCAATTTGATTGGTTGTTTCCATTCATCCCAAGAGCCCATCACAAACATCTCATTCCAGTCCAAGTAAGTGCGTACCTTTACTTTCATTAAGTCTTGCTAAGATTCATAAGAGTCTCTGTACTTTATAGTTTTATCTAAACTGAACATCTTCGTCTGAGTTTGGCTCCTGATCATCAGAACTATCCACTTGAATCAACTTCCTTGGTACGACTTCCACCTATATTAATAGGGGTTTCTTGATACCCAATTATTATAAGTCCCGAAATTATTGTAAATTACATCTGCATTGGGATCATGTTTCCAAACCCCATCAACATTGAACTTGTATTAATGGTAACCTGGAGGTAAGGGTGGATTGATTTCGGCTTGTAAGAAACTAGAATAGCATAGAAGAGAGTACTAAGGAGGCTACTTGGATTTCACCATTGGGTACCCAACTTGGAAGTGACTCCAGGACCCATATAAGGTAACTAGATTTCCTTCATATTTCCATTCAATGACAGTTGAGTTTACTGCGCATTCTTGATCTTCGTGACGATTGCCACATTGTTTGCAATAATTTGATAGCATATTAAATTATTGCGAAGGGATTTAAATGAACTCACTAATATAATAGGTAAATGATTTTTAATATGTATAATTAAAATTATTGAATTATTATGTATTATCGTGCGTTTTGATTAAATATAATTCTTTAAAAGTAATTATATTGTGTCTCATTTAGCATGCAATTAATTTTAATGGTATCAATAATTTGATTAATAAAAATGTTCATTCTAATTATCAGAAATAATTAGAATGAATATTTAATTTAAATTGCCCATAATAGCGCGTATTTATTTATCCTAAAAAAGAAAGTGAGGGTAATTTTGAAATTCAATAAATAAAATGGATAAGAAGTTTATAATTGTCTCCCTGGAAGGAAATGTTGGTGCAGGCAAATCAACCTTATTTGAGATTTTGAGATAGGAATTCCCAAAGGCTATTTTCTTAATGGAGCCCTTGGAATAGTGGTAAAAAGTGCACGGTAACCCCAACCTAAACATCCTGGAGAAGTACTACTCAGACATTCAACGTTGGGGATTCACTTTTTAAATTTATGCTTACCAATCCAGATTAATGGCTTGGGACAGACAATTAAGAGCAGTAGTCAAAGAGCAAAAATTGCAATAAATTGACAATCAATTTTCATCTCCATCCACAAATGCTGATGATGAACCCATCCTTGTGTTTACAGAGAGAAGCATTGAGAGTGCTAGAGAATTATTTTTCAAATTGTGCTACAATGATGGAACAATCAATGAACTTGAATATCACATATACGAAGAGTTTTATGAGTGGCTAATGGAACACTACAAGTAATATTTAGTGGATTGTGTCATTTATGTGAACACTCCTCCTGAAACATGTTTGGAACGTTTGACTCGTCGAGGCAGACAAGAAGAGGCCTGTGTGCCACTTGATTATTTGAGGAAGTTACATTAAAGACATGAGGATTGGCTTTCTGATAATAATAATAAATTCAAAATCATCAATATTGATGCTACCAAAAATTACGTTAAGGATTTAGATATAAGAGAGGGGGTTCGCAGACAATTAATTGATGAAATTTCCACTTTGATTGATTGATTCATAATTATACTAATTATCAAACATTTTTTTATTTAAATTTGCATGAAGAAAATTATTTAAGAGAACTTATCTCCTGAAGAAGCAAAAACTCTCTGGAAATATCTTGATGATGCATGTTATCTCATTGCTGAACATCAAAGTATGAAATATTAGATTGAGGTTTATAGCCAAACAACTATCGTTCGCAGAATTGTATCAACATGCCTACAAATTGATTCTCAATAGGTTTGGAGATTTCGCCTACACTCAATTACAAGTTTCTATTCATAAAATTGTGGATAAACTCATCAATCCTCTAAACATTAGCAATGATGATTAATTGTTGAATGATTTCGTTAAGGCCTACGAAGAGGTTCAACATTTTAGCAAACTATTGGCTGGCATACTGCTTTACATGGTAAATCCCCCATATTTATGCAATAGGAAAAATCCTATATACTTTAGAAATCTCTCAAAACAATCAAAATCATTTGCAATGAAAGTTTTAAAATTAAATGTTTCGAGAAAGACTAAAATCTGGCTTCAAAATTACTCAATTGTTTTCTTGCTCAAATTCGCAATGATCGTAATTCTGAAGTTATCGAACATTTTAAATTAAAAAATGCATTATAAATACTTGTAATAATTTTCGCATTACTCTAGATTGACATCAATTAAGAATAACAGATAAAGATCAAGGAACACATTTACACTATTGAATATAGAACCAATGATGACTTCTATAAATACTTTTTAGAACGCAAACTTATTTAAGATTCTCACCGCTATTTCAAAGAAGAAAGCTAATCAAATCTAAATAAAATGACTATTGAAGAGTACATCCTTTTTGTAGAGAAAAGATATTACAGTGAAGTCGAAAGAGTTTAATGTTATATACCTAAAGTTTCACATTAAAAGGTTTTGGATAGTTTCATCAAAAATTATGTCACTTACAATTCGTAATACATTTCTTAAGGACTCTAAGATTTTATTGAAAATGATAAGACTACTATTTTCATTAAGATTTATTAATTATTTGTCAAAAGTGAAGAATTTGATTAGTTCATTAAAACATTAACTTAAATTATTGTAGCCGATTTATAACTACTCAATCAGAATGAGAATACTCTATAAGGATTCATTAAATTATATGAGAAGATATTCTTTATGTATGATATAATTGCATAATTTGGAAACAACGAGCATTCATATAAATTTCACAAAGGCATAAAAAGTATTTCGCATATCTTAAATATTATTAGATGCTTTTGAGTAAGTCATTAATTAAGACAATTTTATAATGTTTGAATTGAATAAATACTTTGATCAAATAATGAGAAAAGAGTCATTGAGAGATGACGAAAGGAAAGTATAAATAGAAAAGGGATTTTTGATATTCAAATTAGTCTAATCGAAGGATGAGTTTGAATAATTATATAGAAGACATCTCTGTGTTAGATTATTAGATTAAACATCCAGTTCTTCTGAAGTCGAAATTGATTTTTTGAAGAAACTTAAATTGGAATGTGGCTCTGTCTTGACTCACAAGATGGAAACCATGTTTAGTGATTTATAAAGAAGCAACGAGGAAAGTTAAAAGTTTAGACAGAAATTGTCATCAAGTTAAAGGGATGTTATTGACATAGATGTATTAGTTCTTACCTCTGAATAATGGCCAATCACTGATTATAAACCAATCATTGTACATAATGAATTGTTGTACTGGCAACAGCAATTCACCTAATATTATTAGAGCAAGAATTAAAAGAGAAAATTGGCATTTAATTATGGATTAGGCTCAGTGTCTCTTAAAGCCACTTTCGATCAAAATTGTAAGAAAGATTTAGTTTGTTCTGTCTTATAAGCAACGATCTTAATGCATTTCAATAAATAACGCATATATAAATTGGATGAATTGATTAAATTAATCAATACTGATTAAGAAACCATGTAATCAGAATTAGAAAATCTTCTATTTTTTAAATTATTAATCTAAAATGAGGAAGATAATTCATTATAATTAAATTACAAGTTCTAACATCGAAGTTACAAAATTAAGGTCTAATCAAAAAAACAATATGCTTTATCTTACAATTAGAAATCCAAAACTAAATGGTAGGAATTCAAAATAGATTAGAAAGAAATAATATTAGATAGAAGAGTGTATTTGGAATCCTTGATAGTTAAAGTTCTCAAAACAAAAAAGTAATTGGATCACAAAGATCTATTTAAATACATAGACAAAGATGCGAAAACTAGACATTTTCCTATTGAAATTCCCTTCTTTAAGGAATGTATAGAGAATTTGATACAAAAAGAATACCTAATAAGACAAGATGGATAATTAGACACATATATTTATAAAGCATGATTAATATTATAATAAATAATATCTAATTAAACCAGAAAAACATATTTAAATGAGTGATTTCTTATTTTATTTAGCCTTCAATTATCGGTAATTATTATTCTTAATAAATAATTTTATAATCTAACAATGGGATATGAGAATTATTAAAACAATTTCATTATAAATGAAACGAAGATGTTAGAATTTTGAATTGTTTATTAAACAAGATTAGGTGAAATGGTTCCTTAATTTACTTTATAAATTAAAGCAATAGTAACTTTTGAATAATTATATATATATAAGCTGTTTCATTATATATTACAGGCTATATATTCTTCTGTTTTCCGTGCCTTATTCTTTTCAAAATTATTTTAACATTCCTTAAATATTTATTCAAATTCTCTATTGTCTTTTAAACTAATATTTGTAACTTGAGTTGTTTAAGTTTGTTTTGCATCGAAACTATAATTTGTGCTTTGAAATTTCTAGACTTTAACATACTTTTTCTATGGAGAACTAAGTTTTGATTAAGGTATGCTATTATTCAAAACCATCATTGAGTCTTATGACTACCACTTGTCTTTATTAGGTGTTTCAATATAGTTTAAATTACTCCCTTAACTAAATTTAGAGTAATTTTTCAAATCCCCTTTGACTGGTATTTAAGTATTTAAGCCAAAATCTGCTGAAATATTGCATGCAGGATCCTTGTTTTGCTGTTACGATTCAGCAAATGAAAAAGTTCTTTTTTTAGGTGCTTATTTTATAGTTGATTAAAGCTCTTCGTGTTTTGGGGATTGGATGTAGGAACTAAAGATATTTGAGTACTTATTTTCTGTTACACTCTAAAAATATTCAGGTGGCACAATATTATAGATCGGATTCTGGCTAATGTAAATACTAAATTATAATACAATTATGTATTATCATAAGACTCCGATGACTGATGAGTATCAATTCTTAGATTATCATTGAATAGTGTTTTAGATTCTTTTAAATTGCAAACATATTCCTCAATTTTTAGCATTTATCAGTTAAAAAAAAAATCGATTATATTCAAATAGAAAGTTTAGATTTTATAAATTATAAAAATATATATAAATTCATAACTATCATCAATGACATCTATTAAAGCAGCCCTGATCATTAGAGTGACTAACCAACAATTGCTCTTCTCTAAGTCATATGATAAAAAGAAAGTAAAATTAAATTAAAACTTATATAGATGGACTAAGATTCTTAAATTATTTTAGAACACATGTCATAAATATTTCCAAGAGCGGAAGAACGAGTTACTCTAAAAACTGCTAATGGAGTTTGGCGTTACAAACTTGATGATAACAAAATTGCTTATGCATGTATACCATTGTATATAAATTAGTACTTGCTATAGAGAGCTACCCGGATAGACACATACATGCTATGATACGAGTAAGATATATTAAAATTTTAAGGAAATAGAAAATGAATTAAAGAAAATGCCTAATTATGTTGATTCTAAACCTAATGATGTTGAGAAATATGCAAAAATCTGGATGAAATAACTCCATGAAAAATACGATAATTTGGCTGCAGTAGACAAAGTAATACATACATTCTTATTTATTAAGGTTTACGCAGCATAATAAAAAGTTGACGAGGTGTAAATTGTTATGGAAGAAAACATACACAAAATGATAACTAATACGGAAAACCTTAATGTACATTTTGCACAACTACTCATAGGATTTAGATAAAAAAGCAAAAGATTTAACAATTTAAGCGCTCGTTATCAAAATAGTCAAGTGAACTTGCTAAAATTATGTATTGGAGGAACATGAAACTAAAGATTCTTATTGGCCTTGTCGTATTAGCCGGAATGCTTTATATTATTGTCCCGTTTACTATAAGAGCTTCAAATTGAAATGTTATTTCGTATCAATAGAATATTCTAGAGATCTTTCCATGTTTTCTAAAATAGTTTTTGAATCTATATTTACAGCTAGACATCATTTAAATACTCATTCCAATAAGGACTCCCAAGATCGTCAATAGAATTTCATAATTAGATTATTTAATATTATTTATAAATGAATCAACAAATTCAAGATAAAGTGTGTTGTTTATTGAAACTAGAGAGCACTTATTCATAAATCTAACCATACCTTGATAAAATAAAGGAGAAGGATCAGTAAGACTTAATTCAATAATCTAGAAAATATTATGAACCCATTTGTCAAGCTATTATATCTGCTTTTCTTGATTAAGAACCCGTTCAGTGCTTTCAAGCTGCTCGAATGGCAAAAGAAGCAATAGAAAAATAGAATTTAGACTTCTTAACTGTCTTTCAAAATGTTTGTCTGAAGTCTTATGAATAATTGGCAGAAGATACTTTAAATGTGAGACTGGCTGACAAAGCGTCTTCATTCTTTAGCAAGAGTAACAGCGATATGAATTTTGGGAAAAGCTTCTTCCATTTGATTTTAGAGAGTATTGAAAATTGGGCTAGGTAATATCCTAAAAAAAATGATGGAATTACTCCAACTTTATTCTATTAAATTTATCAGAACCTCCTTAATAAGGGAATAAAATTTCCTTAAGCTAATTACTTTAAAGAGCAATCATCAATGAAAAATAATATCAGTAATGATCAAAAAAAATTAGAAATATTAAAAGATCTATAATAATAGATTATGATGATGAAATAATTACATGAAGTCGAATTGTCAGATCAATAATAATAGAACGACTTAAAAATTTTTAAATTGTAAGAAAAATTGTAATATTTCCAAAACATGCAGCCAATATTAAAGGAATAAATAGATGAATTATAAAAAAAAGAAGATAAATATAAGTAAGACATGGAAAAAAATCAATAGAAATTAAAATAATTGGAAACCGAGCTGAAGAATACTAAATTACATGGATAGTAATACTTTAACGAATAATTAGAGAAATTAAATCTAGAATCTTAAATATAATAGCTTTATCAATAGATTGAAGAACTTAAACAAAATAATTATATTTTAACTGAGAGATTACAAAATTAAGAGAATGGAAGATAAATAGAAAACACGAATCTCAAGATGGAATTGGAGAAGAAAGAAGCAGAAATTAAAGAACAAAAGGTTAGATGTTTGGAACAAGCATAAAATATTAACTAATTGAAATTATAATTAATAGCAAAAGATAAATTGAACTAGGATGTAGCAGCATTAAGGAATTAGGATTAAGAATAACTTATATAAAAATTATAATAAAATATTGAGAGCCTAAAAAGAAAAATTTAATCTCTTGAAGGAGAAAATAACTCTTACTAATAAAATTAATAAGAGTAATAAAAGAAGAATAAAATACTTGAAGAGTAACTCTTAAGCGCACAATAAAAATTACAAGTCTCAGAAAATAAGGTTAAGGAATTACAAACATAATTAGATTAATTAAAGCAAATATCTCCAGTAAGAACTAATTCTGCCAAAATCTCAATCAGAGAAAAACCGCCTTAATATCAGAATTTCTTCTTTCCTGACACATAGTAAAACCAATAACATTTTAATGCGCGATTTTAATTTAATGAAGATCTAAAGGACTTGTTTACGAGACCAAAACCTATTGAAGTAGAGAACATTAATCCTTCGTTAATCTTCCCTTATTAAACAGCAGAAGAATATTATTCGAAAGGTTAAAAAATGTAATAAAATAAAGGTTAAGAAGTTGTTTTTAAAAATTTAATTAGTCAGTTGAAAGATGTGTCTGAAAAAAATAAATATCTCTTTTAAATGTTCCATATTAATAGAACGACGTACTACTTCATTGACAAACCATCAATTTTGGTGGCAATTATAAAATAGGTTGTAAAATAAGGGGAAGAAAACTTAGTTAAATTTGGAGTTTATTTCAAAACTGATGAATAAACTATCGAATTATCAGGAAAATTTTTAAATTTACAAAAAATATTGAAGTATTTTTCATCATCCTAAAAAGATTTTAATGTTACTCTAGAAAAGTCATCTTAATAATAATAATAATAATAATAATAACAATAATAATAATAATAATACCTACTGGAGTATTAAATCAATGATAAATGGGAAGATTTATCAGAACTCCCTGTTTTGGAAATACGATACTAGTAAAAATTATTATTACTTTAGAAAAAAAGTGTAGTAAATGTTTCTTCCTATGCCATTATTAAGTTTTATTGAATTTTCCCAGTTAACTAAGGATAATTTTAAAGTACATTGGAAGAAATTTTTTATCTTCAGATCAAAAATATTCAGTTATAACCCTATGATTTTACCATCTTATTAGAGTATTTCAAATATCAGCAAAAACTTTCTCCTAATCAATGAAGAAAAACTGAAGGCATATTTATAAGGAATTGATGAAATAAAATTTGGAGCCAAATTTAAGATACTAGGGTCATAATTGAAAGGATTAATTAAATTTGAACTTATTCCTTAAAATAAGATGATTATTTACGTAGGAATTACGAAAGATTAAACCCAATAATATTAGCCTCTTGTTACAAAAATAATCAATTATTTTAATTCAATCTTTTAGTAAATATGAGAGATATTATTTATATAATTTTATTTTTTAATATGTGTATTTATTTAGTTCTTTATAATGCACTTCATTTAAATTTTGATATATCTTTCCCCTTCAAATTCTAATTTTTGGGATTTTATCAATATACTTTCAGATTTGAGAAGGCAAGAAAGAAATAATTTAAGATTTGTAATTATAAATTATGAATAATGATAATAATAATCCAGAATAATAGCCTTTCGGATTATGGAATAGAACTGCTATTGAAAAAAAAACGACACCTTTGGATTAAGTAAAAACGATGGCGAATGAAAAAATCCAAGAGATAATGAGCAATGTATTTAGTGTTCTATTGGAAGGAAGTTGTAATAAAAGTAGGAAAAGAATTAGAGAACCTAAAGTAAGAACTGAAAGAGGGTTATGATAAATTGGATTAGAAGGCGCAGAGTGTTTTACATGAACAGAAAGCAAAAATGAATTTATGGATTAAACAAAAAATAGAAATGGCAATAATCAGAGTTTTAGAGAAGACAAAACCTATTCTACTAGAAAGCATTCTTGATCCTTATATGGTAACAAATTGAAAGAGATAACTTTAGTGTGATTGTCTATCCAAACTCATTGAAGATGTATTCGAAGAGGTGTGGCCAGATATCAAAGAAGAAATTTTATTACAAATAAGAGTGAAATATGCAGATCCTTATGAGTTGGTGGAATTTCCAAAACCGAAGTTGTGTTGTATTTAATACCCTTGGTTTTGGTTCAAGGTATGGTATTTATATGTTACACAACCTTTTGATAAATCCATATTTGAGCAATTACATTGGTATTCTTGGTGGCTGATCTTCATTGTTCAATTAATACCTTTTTATGGAGTAATCAATTCAATAAAATAATTAGATATAAGCATTTATTTATGTTTTTGTATTTTTATTCATTGACAAAGAGGATGAATATTAATTGATTCGATTCATATTAGCCTTTAAAAGCATGTAATTTGTATCTATAGGATGTAAGAAATATTTAATGTAGTGATAGGAACTATGGTAGGATATTTCACATTCTATTCATGTGCTGTAGTTTCAACTGTAGATAAAAGTTATAAAGATTGCAAAGATGATGGTCCTGCAATATTTTTAAATTTTTGGTCTGATATTGCAGCTTTTTTACTTCAATTGCTGTTGGTTTGGTTAGCAATTATATTGTTGAAATGTTCAAAAATTAAGGGTCAGGTAAGATTTAAGCATGTGTAAGAATCCTAATAATAAATGAATAATAAGAAAATGTCAAAGCAATCATGTTGTTTATGTTGCTCCTTTAATAGTAGAGGAGGACGATTGTATTGCTTTATGCTTTACGATTTGATTTGTTTTTTAGGATGTGTGGCCTTGTTTTTTGGTTTGTCTGTCTCTGATGGGGAGAGAAAGCTATGGCAATATAAATCTACAATGTACTTAGCCAAAACAGTCTATGGGTTATTGAGTTTTCCTTTTTTGGTGTTTCGTATTCCAGGACTAACCTGGTTGTTAACTCGTTCTCATGGAACAGGGTATGATTGCAATGGTAATTGTGTTCCTTTGGTTTCAAATTTGCAATAGTATCACCTAAGAAAAAAGTCATAAAAACAGCCATATGATCCAAAATATGCAGTTTAAAATGAAGACTTTGATGTAATGGAGGGAGTGGAATTAATGGATGAATTGGTAAATTGATAATAAATACTTAAATTTCATTTTTATTTAAATTCATAAATAGAGGAGAGTAGCTTTTATTCTCTCGATCTTTCTACTTTTTCTCTTTGCAATCTCTCTTTTCTTAATTTTTCTCTTTCATGCTATTTTTATTTTTATCTTATTTTTTCTAAATCTGAATCATCACTGCCTAACAATTCCCTGATTTATTTTCCAAGTTTTTGATATTTCTTCTATTTTTTCTTCATTTCTTTGATATAAGCTGGATCATTTTCTTCCTCCTTTTTATCTTTTATTGTTTCTTCTTTCTTAGCCTCTATTTATGAAACGAGAGTTTCCTCTTAGTATTTCTTGCTCAAATCTAAAATCTGATAATAGTTATCTTATTTTTCTTTGAAATTTTTTAACTATTGCTTAACATTTTGTTGTAATTAGGTTTGTTTTTAATCTTACCTTTATTAAATATACCATGGTTTTGTTTAATCATATTATCCCAAAAACTTAGTACTCAAATCAAATGGTTTGTCTTTAAAGAACTCCTTCTCCAATTCTATTTTAGCTTAGTTGTTTTATTTCTATAACAGATACTATTCTTCTTCTTTAAATAAGTTTATATGTTACTTAGCCTCCAATATTTCTCTCAATTCAGCATCTAGATTATCACAATTAAATCTTACTAACTTTGGATGAACCTTATTTCTTTTAACTTTGACTTCTACTTCTGCTTCTGCTTTGACTTTCACTAACACTTCTACTTGGAGTGTGAGAAGCAGCTCTCCTCTATTACTTCAGCTTTTAAATTCTATTTCCTGCCTATTCTTTATGTTCTTTCCTTTTTTCCTTTTAAACTCTCTCCCTCTCCTTTCTTTTATCCCTTTCAACGATATTCCTATTCTCCATATTGTACACATTCCACTTCTTTTAGGGTAGAATATTCAATCCTCCATGACCTCCCATAATTTATTTATATAAATTATAAATTTGAGTATCAATTATCATCATCTTCATACATTTCATCATAAAGCCCATCATATGAATTCACTCCTGGCATCAATCGAGATTGGATTTCTTTCTCCCTATACTTCTTTGACTTCGAAGCATTTTCAGGTCCTGTCATTCTGCTCAGGTAATACATCACTTTCGTAGTAATTTCAATTTTCTTCTCTTTCTCTGATTCCCTAGGGATGATTTACTAATGAGATCCACTCGAATTCTGGTGTTGCAAAGATGGTAGTCTAATTCTTATTTTTGGCCTCAATTATTCACCCAAATTGTCTTCAGATTTGTCTCTCTCAGTTTAGGGTTTCCATGACTTTGCCTTGTACTTCGTGGGTACCCTATAGATGCTAGCAAATTGATGTTGCTTTTTCGGAATTGACCGAGAATATTAAGGAGAATTCAAGACACTTTATAGTATAGGGTTCATTTTAAAACTTAATACTAATTACTAATATACAAAAAATCAACCATCAATCTTCTTTTTATGAATCTTCTTCTATACTTTCTACACTCCTGCATTCTACTAAATTTACTTTGGCTTCCTATTAACTAACTGCGTTTTGATTTATTTGGCAATAGGAATCACAGTAGGTTTCTAAACCTTGGTCTATTCTTGTTCTTCATCGGCTTCTCTCCTCCAAACAACACTCACACAAAAGCATGTTAATCGCTAGTTTGTTCGAATGACATAAATTGGTTTTAACTTATTCTTGAGATCAATCTCATCATATTATTCATTGGCATATAATAGGCAATCCCAGATTTTGATGTCACCATCAGATGAAATAGATGCCAAATATGTTTAATCGTTCAGATCAAATAGTTGCAACTACTTGATCCTTTTCTAATGAGCAGCAAACTTCACCAGAATCTGACTCCATATCTAATTTTCGACGGACAATTTAATCATATAAACTATTCCATTTGCATCTAGAATATTCTCCTTTAAATACCTGATAGGATGAGTGAATTTTGATTTAATATTGAATCTGTAATTTAGGCTGTAATATCTATGGTATGAGCAACCTTGTTGGTTTCACAATCGACTATATAGCATTTTCTTTCTGATTGAAATAATAAGTATTGGATTTCGTCCTCCTTTGAAATGAAATGAATCTTGTCGATATCTAAGGGTTTCAGAAAATATAAATACTAAAATGAAATTTCTTTAATGCTATCCTTTTCAAATTCATCAAATTATAGAGATGCAATTTCTGATCTTTGGTTGCACATGCTAAGATCTTTCCGGATTCATGAATTGCTATGGATATAACAGGACTTCCACATTGGAACGTATTAAGAATTGCCCATTGTTTATTTCTCCATAAATTTACTTTTCCATCTTCAGCTGATGTGAATAGAAAATTCGAATGGCCTGCAATCTAAGTTATTGTTCCATTGTGCTGTTCTAATAAGGTGACCTCAACTCTCCTTCTAACATCATAAACCTTGATCAACTCTTCAGAACCTCCAATGAACAGATATCGTCCATTTTGATAAATTGTTTTGATTAAAGACTCAAATAATAAAGTAAATGTACTGTGGAGGCTGGAAATGAGTAGAGAGTGTTATTCGCTGATAATTCTTCGTTCAATGAGAACCCTAATAGTTTGCCTTCATATGTCCCCACATTAATATTAATTTCCATTTTAATTTAATTTATAAATAGATTATAAATAATGTCCTCATAATTTATATCTTAATCAGGCTATTTCATAACTCTTAAAAATTTATTGGTTTTGGATTCGATTAAAACAGTGTAAATCTCTATTGGAAAAGAGAAGTCTTTATCAGATAAATTAAATGACAAACTTCTATGAGTTAATCCAATTTTTTGTATTAAACTTTTTGGTTTAGGTTAAATCTTCATTTGAATATGTAAGAATTGGGATATAACAATTAATCCTACGTATAATTATTGTTAGATTGATAATTCATCTTATTGTAAAAATATTCTCAAATACTTACCTGCAGTTTACTACAAGTTGAATAATTTATTCTCTATAAGTATCTATATTTAAAAACAATCAATGATAAAACATTCAATTCTTAGTTATGATTATTTCATTGCCAGATGTAATATAATCTGAATATGTACTAGTCTTAATTATCAAATCCATCCTGTCATTCAATTCTCCCTCCCCTTATACTCTATATCTTTAAGAGATTCATCTATAATTCTATTCTAAATGAAATGTAAATAATAATGAAAATAGTTAGTTATTTTCCTCCAATACTTATAAATATTTGTATATATATAACGAACACATTCAAATTAATAAAATAAATTTAAATAATTAGTAGCGATGGACACTAGATAGTCAGAACACTCTAGAGGCAAGTCTTAGACTCAAATCAAATTGCGTAACCCATTCGAACTACTTATAAGTAATGTTACTTGCAATATATAGAAATAATCAGATTGCCAAATGTTTGCAATAAATGTGGGCATATTACTAGAATGAAAGAAATATCAGATATTCTCGAATAATTTGACACCATGACATCATAATAAATTGATACTATTAATGAAAAACTAATTCAAAAATCGAACTAAATTTTAGCAGCTCGACAACAATTAGTTAAGGATGCAAAAAATGAGCTGCAATAATCATTGCAATAACTTATTTAAGTGAGGTAGAGTATGGGTTCATCCTTTAATTTTGAAGACCGAGAAAAGTGTTTAGAGCGAGTTTGTGAGGTAACGATTAATATAATCAGTTAGGATATCTTCTGCAATGTTCAAGAATAGATTGAGATATAAAATTCATTGTCTGAACTCAATGCAATAATCCAAGAATAATATCAAAAATTTCATCAATTTCCAAATGAGATCACTGAGATGAACAAATTAGAATATCACGACAACCTTGAAATCAGGGAGAGATTGGATGGAGCCTTAAGAATCAACTAGAGCCATAAGGATATCTTGAAGGAGATCTTGATTAAAATAGGAGAGGAAAATAAGAGCTACACCTTCGATATCTAATTACAATTTAGATAGTAACAATTGGAAATGCTAAATCTGCTATAATGCAATCAAGAGTAAATTAAGGAGATAGAAAGATTAGAGGATGAATTGAATGACAAGAAATTGGAATTATAAAAATACGCAATATTATTTAGTTAATTTGAAAAGTAAAGATTAAATACATATGTTAGTCCTTTTAAATCAAATAAGATTAGCTCTGAAGAAAGTAGTGCTAGCAATTTCTAATCGATTTAGAAGGAAATTGTTCAACCACCGTCATCAATTCAATAAAGTCGAAATGTATTTTAAGACATTAAGAACATTTAATCGAAAAGGTTTTCCTAGCCTTCTGTAAATGAAAATAATAATATGTGCACTTTTCAATCAGAATAATTCTATTCTATAGATCAATCTCATGGGAACTTGCATCAAGAATCATCATAAAAGTCTTCATAAAATACTAGTAAATAAATTGAGAATTCAGTTGTAATTAATTAGAGATATGGAAACAGTATATCTAATAAATTTAACAATTCCAAAGCAACCAGCTTGATTTCACAAATTAACTCTTAATAAAATAGTATTCCTATTTAAATAATCCCTAATTCAACCAAAAAAATTAGAAATTCAGTTGACACTAATCCCATGATGTCCCAAGAAAGTTTTGAACACTAATAACATGAAAATGATGAAAATTCCCCTAAAATCACTCCTACAAGCAAAACATTACTCTCCAAAGTTCCACCCCTTCCTATAGGCAGATAGTTAGAGCTTGATTGAAAATTTTATTCTTATTATATTTTTAAATCATTAACATTACTATTCTAGTAAATTCATTTAAGACTAGATACAATTTACACAAAGAATATTAATATTATCTCAATGATTATTGTAAATTATAACATTCATAAAATTAACAATTTTAAATAAACATAACTAACCTTCAAAGAAATTAACATTTTTATTGGGATAAAACTCACCTTATCCATCAAAATCTCATTCTGATGAAATTAAATAATTCAATAACTTGCAAAACAGAGAAATTACTGGATTATAACAGAAAAGCCTCCAAAAAATCCAGAGGGCAAATTTCCTCTCTTTATTTGATAAATTTAAGTCTTTACCCTAATTCTTGAAGAAAACTACTGAGTATTTAATTGCTTAGTTTGAAAGTATAGCTTTTTGATTTAATAATCTATAAAAAATATTTTTATTAATAAAATGTCTGATAACTAATTAACTGACTTGCTACTATATTATGCATATGTGGAATAAGAAATAGAAGTTCTACGAGAAGTTTTATGTTCCGAGGCTTATTTCCAACCTTACAACTTATTCAAATTTATTGATTGCATGAAAGATGAACCAAAAGTACATATTATAAATATAGAAGGGGTATTTAACTGCTCAAGATTTATCTTTTTACCTTAGTGAGAGAAAGTTTCCATCTAACCTACCAACCAAGACGTATGTAGAGAATTACAACTAAAATAAGGATTGCAAATTAGTATACTCTGAGTAATTATGTAATTGATTATAAGATTTTTGAGAGCCATATTGCCTATATCAAATTAGGACTTAAGAGAAAAGATCACATAGTAAACACCTTCAGATCAAAAGATCATAAGCGAGAGAACTTAGTATTTATTTGCAAAATTAATGGAAGCGTATATATTGAAGCAATTATTATAGGGAAATAAAACTAACAATACAGGCTGAGAATTACAAGCAGCAGATAGATCCAAACTATTTTGATAAGATCTGCTATCAGAATTACATATATCATCAAGATCTACAGAGTTATTTCAAGCATAAGCAAATAACTACTAATTCTATTGAGATTTAATAGATTTTTAATAGGGTAGATTTGCTAAATGATGGAAAGATAGATAGAAATGAATGGAATTTATGGGTGAGTGCTAGGAAATCAGTATTATAAGTTAATTCAAATTCATACAAATAATAACAGAAATTCAATAGCACAAGATATAGTTCAACAAAGAGGAAATAATAAGATTCTACAATGAGTGACTTGCTATCCATATCTAAATAAGGGTTTTATTAGTCCACCAAGCCTCCTTTGTCTAATTACTCATATAATACACCTAAAAAATACCAGAAATAGAAAACTGAAGTGAGAGCCTAAATGCATTCTCAATTATTGTAGAATAGCAATCACTCCTCGAAATAGGAACTATCTTACAAAACAATGACTCATAAACCAATAACAAGTTTTTACGAGGACGACATTTAAACATTAAAGAAGACTTAGTCAGTTGCAAAATATGAAGCTCTGGAACCAGTTAATTATTATGTCTAGCTATTTGTGAGTTTGATTTAGTTGGTAAAGAAGGTTGAACGTCAAAAGATTCTGTTGAGCAACCATGACGATTTTTCATTGTATTCTTCATTTTAAAAATTGGATAAAGGGTTTAAAGGGATACTGATAAGGAGTGACTTGAACTCTTTTTGCAAGAACCCATAATTGATATTGGATCGATATGGAAAAGACAACAAGATGAGATTTTCAGAATATATCAAAATGATTGAGCCAAAAGATCCTTAGGCTGTAGAGATGCTTCTGAAGAAAGACCAAAAACATAAGGGAAACATGTTAACACAAACAGAAATATCACTCAAATTGCTATTTGAATTGATCGAACAATTCTTATAGAAGATACACCAAACGAAGGAGTATTAAAGCAAGCAGTAATTTGATATCAGTGAAATCTTTTACATGCTGGCTTATGATAGATAGTAAATAACTCATTAAGACGTAAGATTATTAACTTAGATAGATTACTGATTTCCTGTAGGCGAATCAATTCAAGACTGTGCATCAAGATGTAGATTTATTGTTGGCTGAATTGGATTATGATGGTGATGGACAGATAAGTTACAGGGACTTTATTAAAATTTTTGGAAAATGATTATAGTATTATAATTATTTATACTAAAATGATGGAGGACTTGCTGCAAAGTAGGATTCGTAGTCGCAATGCCTATTCACTTCATAATAAATATCAATCACTCTGTCACTAATAAGGAGGATAGAGCACTCTCAAAATGCTTTCTCACAGCTTATAAAAGTAATAGTACAGTCAGAAATTACATCAATTAAATTTGTAACGAACTGAGTCTCGTTTCCAGATCAATTAACCAAAGCATATTTAATATATTGGGGCGATATCAAGCTCGAATAAAACTGTGAATACATGTTCCCCAGAAAAGATAATCGAATCACCATTAAAGGGAAGGATTAAATAGAGCAGAATACTGAAGACTTCACTTCACAATTCTCGTATGAGTCCTGAAAACAGATTGATTTTCAAATAGCGTCTCAATAAAATTGATGAATCCATTCAATATATTCAAGATAGACACAATCAATTCAATGGAATTAATTCTAACAACTATTAAAAGATGTGTGAAATGATTAATAAGACCGAATACATTAGTGCTGATCATAATTCTAGTGTTGATATTCCCTTGATAAAATTGATTAAACCAGAACCAATTGAGAACAATGAAAATAGTGCCAATCTAGTCTAAAAGTTAGCTACCCAAACCATACAATGGAGTGAAACCAAGAAAAAACAAAGATCCAAACTAGAGTAGAGTGTGTATTATAAGACAAATAAATGGAAAAAAGCTAAATTCTTAATCTTATAAAACTTCTCGTCGCGTCATAACAGCACTATGTATTCCAAGAAATATATGATTACATAATTGAAGATACCCTACTTAAGACACAATTCGAAACAGATGTTCATGGCTTTGAAATAGAAAAACTATCACTAATTGCTTAAACATCTATCTTATAACAAATCATTTATTCATGAAGTTGACAATTCTCTAATGACTCCCTTGCATATTTCTTGTCAATAAGGTCTATATGATATAACCAAAATGCTCTTGAGATTTAAGGCCGATGTGAATGCTCTAGACAAGAATAAGAAAACTCCCCTATATTATGCAATGTTTAATGGTCACACAGAAATAGTAAAAGTAATCTATTTGGCTATATCCCAAGATGCTCCTATTACATGATGCCTTTCCATATTCGGACACTAATTGCAATTATACTCAATTCTTCCCGAATAAAGCAATGAAAGAATTATTCAGAGTGGCCAAGAGGGTAATACTATATAATTTATGTTCTAGATTTTAACCTTGATGCTGATATGCCCAAAGCACAAGAGAAAAACAATGAAAGAGTACTTGGAAATCAATTTTTTGAATGAATATTCTCTCCCCAAAAACCTGCTTGCTTGAACATCATTTTATATATATAACCCAATCTATATGAATGAATATGAAATTTAATTAATAAATCAATCTACATCTAGTTTTCTTTGAGCCCAATTTGACAGTTTTATCGTATCATCCCACCTATTTATAATAAATATCACGTCATTACCGAACTTCTTTAGATAGACAATTCAAAATAATTATAATAAGGCAAACTTAATCTTTTTTAAATAAAGTAGCAAGACATGGCCCAGCCTTATTGGTAAATCCTGTCTTAAATCCACAATACCCTTCGTACTCCAACATTCTGTTAGTATTCTTCCAAGTCAAATTTATAAGTTTATTCTAATGGGAATATAAATTCACTTTACATTTCTCTAAAGAGTGGCCTAATGTTCTTTTTTATTCATTATTTCCATTAACATTGGGTCATTGATAATTTATTTGCATAGAATTGCCAAATCTTCAGCACAAGAATACGATTGATCATTTGATAATCCTTGGGCATATTGAATGAATTTACCATGAGGATTGTAGAATTAAGTATCATTCATTTCGAGTTGAAGTGCGTATTAATTCATAAGTGAAATAAATGGTTGAATCCTGTATTGTAAGGCAATGTTGGAAACAGGATCCTTAACACATTACGAGAGGTTTTCTGCGATTACATTTGCAGCATCATTCCCAGAGGGTAACATTAAGCCATGAAGTAAATCATATAGGGTGACTCTATCATAGGGACGCAAAAATGCTGAAGTTCCTGAGATTTAAACAGCCTTAAATGTTAAAATATATACATCATAACTAACATACATAATCTAATAAAGATTGATCTTGAGATCCCTAATTAATTACATTGCTACATAGCATGTCATCAACTTTGTAAGTGAGGCAACTTAAACTCTCTTTTTTGAATTAAAGCTCTCTTATATTATTTAATTGCAGTACTGTCAAATGTTATCCATCAATGCCATTCATTACAATAAAGTTTTGGGCTGTCACCAATGGCACACCATATTTAGAGTGCAGATCTATTTTAGAACAACTTTGAGATCTCTAACTTGATCCTGGTCTATTATTAGAACTACTGGAGGTTCTATTCGGACGATTGCCTTGGCTCGATCCTATGCTTCGAATCTGAATCAATGGCTAGTCTAAAGCTTTACTTGACATCCTTTGGTTTGGTAGTGGTGGTTTGAACATAAATTATTCGTCTAATTAATTTTAATAATTTGAAATTAAACATGCACATTGAAAATCCATTTCTCTCTGTTATCTAGCCGCAGTTCATGCCTCAAAATAATCCTCCTTTGCCTAATTAATAGAGGAAGGAGATTGGAGATTAAGCCATCTGGACTTTATCATCCGCTAAGACTGGAAATGGAGTAGACCAATTAAGAGATGATAATTTGAATACATTCTGGCAATCTGATGGCACGCAACCCCATTACATCACAATACAATTTCTTAAGAAAATGAGAGTCTAAGAAGTAGCTGTTTATTTAGATTTCAAATAAGATGAAAGCTACACTCCCAATAAATTATCGATTCGAGCAGGAACTAATATTCAAGACATGAAAGTACACATTGAAAATCTAATCTAGGAAGTACTCTACATTGAATTGAAAGAACCATACGGATGGTTTGTATTTCAACTTAAAACTAAATTACTCAATGGATAGGAAAAGTACTGAATTATCTCTATATTAAGACCTTATGTTTCGACAATTAATATCTAAATAGTAGTTTTATAAAATTAACACAGCGGCAAAGATACACATATCAGATAAGTAAGAATATTTGGACCTAGAGAGTATGAAATTTAAATTTATTTTAGGAAACAAAATTAAGGATTGAGTTTTCCAGATTTCAAAATGCCAGAAATTACTTAATATGCTTCGATTCGTTGAATAATATGCATAATTATTAATTCATATTTTTGACCAATTTAATTAATCTGTTAAAATCCAAAAATTTAGTAAAACAATCTATTTCAATTTCGTTTAACATAAAAACTACTCAATTTTTAAGAAGATATTAGTAAGTATACAATTAATAAGTTAAACTAATAGCAAATTATTATAAAATAATACATCTAATATGGAAGTAGAAATGAGACTCAACTTGAATTACAGTTAATTAATTGATCCTAAAATTATTTAGAGTACATTAATAATAGCAAAATTCCATCCTAATTGCAACTATTATCTTAAATAAATATAGGGTTAAAATAATTTAAATTTAAGAAAAATACTAATGAACTATCATTTGATAAAATTATTAAAAAAGGGGGAAAGTGGTGTAAATAAAATCTTTAGCACTTCACAATAATTTTATCAATTGTTTTAGCGTCTTTTTTGATTTGTCGTTATAAATCATATCAGCCTTGCATTAATAGGGTTTGTGAAGAGAAATTCTAAATTTTTCAAATTTATATTATAAAAAGTTAAGATTATTAAATGTAATTAGAAAATAATGTTTGCCAATTGGTCCGAAGCTAAATTAATGAAAACTAAATCTAATTCTTACGAATTTTCTTATACAAAATATTAGATTAAATAAATATAGAACAGTCTATAATTTTCGAGTTATTAGAATGATTACTTGATAAATCAATATATTAATATTTATATATGGGCTCAGGACAAGGAAAAACCCGAATTAAGAATTGTTTAACAGGATTAGAATATTTATAGAATTTAATTCCCAATGTTGAAGTATAATTAAGTGGTGAGGTGTAAGCTTAGTTAAAATAAGTTATACTTAAAATGCCAAAAATATCGAAAGAAATGTATATTTTATTAACATTTTAGAGAGAATTAGTTCAAATATTTTGGGTAGGATCATTTCGATTGCGAAAAGTACATTCCAGAAGATTATGAACACTTAAATATATTGTCAACTTTTTAGAAAAATCTGCTTGAGCCTCCAATGATAAGAAGCTAATTAGAGGAGGATGCTGCTGATTAATATTAGATCTAATTAAAAATCAATGATATCAAATCATTAAGAATGTTAGATATCAAATAATTAGATGCATTTAAATGCAACAAACTGTAAGAACCTGGTTGGATCTCATTAATAAAGGGAATCAAAAATTATTGTACAATAACAAATACGTTATTATTGCATTGCGAGAAGGACAAAAAACTACAATGGATTATATATGTTACGATATGGGAACATTTCTCATACAAGTTATCAAATTTATCGAAGAAATATTCGTTTTAAAAAATTAATTAAGCATTTGATGAGCATTTTCATACAAACTTAAAACCAAGTTTAAAAGTAGAAACATTGGGAGCCAAAATTTGGGGTGGATAAGTGAGCATAGACAAATAATTTGCTATAAATCAAATACTATTAGGTCGAAAGGATAGAAAATCAGATCTCCCCTTAAGTAGAATTGCTACAGTCCTTATGGAAATGAGTACGGATGTCTATAATTTGTAATTTGCTGGTAGTGATGAATTTGTTATACCAAATTTAATTCAATAACTATAGGAATAGAGCAAATAGTTGTACGAAGAAAAATTTAAAGGAGATTATCATGACTTTTTTCAATTTTGGTTTCTTGATAATTAGTTTGTGCTTACTATATTTCCAGAATGGATAGTGGAGAATTATGTTGATACTATTTTATTCGAATTTGTAGAGGATCTCTTTTGTCAATAAATACTCAAACTAACTTAGGAAGAATAATAATAACTAAATAATAACTATTTTAAGGAATATCAAATTCAGCCCATATTTTTAGATGAAAATGAATTGGGTCTTGATTGTGAATAGTCCTTCTAGAATCTACTTACTTTTGATTAATTTTTGAAATCTCAACAGGAACCTACTATTAGTGTAATAGCAAAGAAAGTTAGTAATGAAAAAAAAAATAGTGATCTTCTAAAAAGTAATTCTACCACTAATTACAGTGGACTTTTGGTTGATCATTAAATGGTCATGCATTAGTTACATTAACCACAAATTGGTGAATAAGTATCATCTGATATTCAATCGGAAAGTAGAAGTTCATATTTTTCATCAGCTGTTATGACTAAAAACTCAAAATTAATAAATTTGAGTTTAAATGAATTTGAATAAATTACGAATTATTATGATATAATCAAGTTTCCAATTTAATCAAGAATCGAGGCAAGAAATCAAAGAATAAAAATGAAGAACAAAAATATAACAAGAATAAATTACGAATTTCGTAGTTTATTTAGTTTTGAAAATTAGAAAGGGGATATTATAAAAAAACAATAAGATTTTTTTTAATCGCTTTTGAACTAAGAGAATAAATTAGAAAGTGTTATTGAACAAAAAGAGTGCATTAAATCCATAGCTGAAATGCTACTGGAGGGATGACTAGATGATTATCGAAGAAAATATGTGTCTCTCTTGTTTTATATATATATTTTAATTCTATTATAGACATATAAAAGTATATAAGCTCATTTTAATAAATAATCATCATCAATTATTTTTAATGAATTCATCTGAGTACAAATACGAAACAGAAATAGGAGATACTAGATCAAGTGTGACTCAATAATTGCTAGCAAAATATGCTTTTAAGTGTGAAATGTGTTTTATTTTACAAGAGGAAAAGGAATAAATTTAATAAGAATCATAATAAGATTAAATTGAAGTAAGGCTAGTAGCTGCCAAAGTCACATCAGAATCACCTATAAGAAAATCATATATTGTGATTTGCCCTAAAGACTTTTAAGATATAGAATATAATCTTGATAAATTTCTAGAAAGGTCCCTTATTAGGTACTCAGTATCACAATTAGAAATTAAAAAGGCTAAGCTTGTTAAAATACCTAATATAGATTTAAATCAGGCCAGAGAAAAAATATCGGGCAATTATTGTTGCAGAGTACTCTAATTAAGATATATCAAAGCAGATAAATAGATTTAATTACTTAATACCAATGATCTAGGTAAAACGATGGAAAATGTACTTGAGATAAAAAAGAAAGCTTTAGAACTCACAAAAAAGAAATTCGAACAATATACAATTGGTGAAGAGAAAATGACAGAAAAATAGAAATTTTTAATTTTTCATTATTACAAAAGACTAGAAAGAAAAGCTGGTGGGATATATGCTGATAATTAAGTTAAATTATTACCAGACGCGAACCTTTCAACACTTTCAATGTCAATATCCGGATTATAAAACTTTGCTAATAAGGACGACATTCATTGAGCAAAATATGTGTTATTAATAAGATATATATAGAATTAATTATTATCATTAAGTGATATTCATCTCAAATGTATTTCTATCTTCTTCTTGGAATTTAGTTTTATTCATTTCATAAAATATCCAGAAAATGGAAGCAGGAAGTGTAGTGAACTAAATCAATTTGAAAATAGTCAAATAAAGAACCTTAATATAATTAAGCAATAAATAAAACCGAAAGAGTCGATGAAGCATTGTAATAATTAGAGCATTCCCTTGAATTTTCACATTTGAAATAGGTAAATATGTCGAACGCAAATTATACTCCAAATTGTAGCAATCCACAATCTAATAATATTATTAAATACAATGCATTAATGTGATTTATTTAATTCTAATTAATACTTATTCATATTTTTGGGCATGTTATTAAACTTAAATGTTTCCAGATCTTGCAATATCCTTAAAACAAATTAAAAGAATATTAAACCAATTTATTTTTATAATCCAAATGACCTTCTAATGCCATATTGCCCATGTAAAATGAACCACCAGCCAAAATGAGTCCAAAACTTGAAACTATTAGGTAATCAACTTAAACACAATTATAACTAGTAAACATTATATAATAATTTACTCGATTGCACTTTTATGAACTATGCCTGCCCAAAACCATAAAATAAACGCGCCTATAAGTAATGCTCTAGCCAATTACCAAACTTTTGGAGCCTATTCTTCATCAGCCACTATAGATCCCAAAATATTGCAAATCATAATTTGCATTGCTATTCCCATGCATTTAATAGTTGACAATACAAAATCATTATCTGCACAACTAATAGATTAAGGCAACTTACCAAAGTATAAAAAATAAATGGTCTGTAAAAATATTTAGATCAAAGCTGCAAAACATAAATATCTATCTATTTGAACCAGGACTCCGCTTTTATCCTGGGTAATTATTCTATATCTCGTGACTAAATAGGAGAGATAGATTAAGCTCAATAGGAATTCTGTGAGTCCTTCCGAGCAAACATATCCATTATTGCAATGAATTAGGTTTGCCATATAATTTAAATTTGTAATATATATAAATTGAAGTTTTTGTCCAAAAATAATCATGAATTAATTTACAGCATGCTAATCGATTGAGAAATGAGTAATATCTGTTCAGTAATTTGGAATCGAAGAATAGCATAACCAAATTATTGAGCATGGTCGATTTAATTGGTAATGCAAATTATACTAAAAAACTTTAGTTTAGTTAAATGTAATATTAAATTTAAGCAAAAATTTGTTAAATGGAAATTAACTAACTCATCTCTATCAGTCAAGATGAATAGGACTGCTTTTTTAGTGATGATGATGAATAAATTTCATAAATAATAGAGTAGGATCCAACAGGTCGATTTTGTAAAGTATTTATCAATTTATAACTCAGTATAATGAAGAAATCGGCAAAGGGGCTTATAAAAGTGTGTTCAGAGGATATGATAATTAAAGCGGTTGTGAAGTGGCCTGGAATGTTTTCTAATTGCATACTGTTCCAGAAAGTATTCAGATTTCATTGAATTATTGTAGATGAAAGAAGAAGAGCAAGATAGGAGATTTCAATCTTAAGTAGTTTAAAACATAACAACATTATTAATTTCATCCATTCTTGGCATAATAAAAAGAAGAAAGAAATAATTTTCATAACTGAAATCATTAATGGTGGTTCTTTGAAGAAGTAATAATATAAATCACATTCCACTAGTTATTTACGAAGAATCTTGAGACCAAAACTAAAAGTCATCAAAAATTGGTGTAGATAGATTCTCTTAGGTCTTGAGTACATGCACAAATAAAACATCATTCATAGAGATTTAAAATGCGAAAACATATTAATAGATACAAATAATAACGAATTAAAAATTGGTGATTTGGGACTCTCCATCTAGTAAGGATAGCAACAATTATTAGATTACAATAATCTTTCACTAGTTCTGTGTTGGGAACTCCAGAATTTATGGCCCCTGAAATTTATTAAGAACACTATGATACTAAAGTAGACATCTATGCCTTCGGAATGTGTCTCTTAGAAATGGTGACTGGGGCCAAACCATTCTGCGAATGTAAGGGAGGTATCGGCTAAGTGATCAAAAAGGTAATGGAATAGTAGAAACCACAATCAATTGATGCAATTCTTAACGATAAGATCAAATCCATTATCTTAGAGTAAGATATCAACGTAATCTAATCAGATGTTTGAAACCCCCTGAGTAAAGACCCTCTGTTTCTGAATTGCTACTCACTCATTTTAATGGGTAGACCTAAGAGAATGACAATTTGCCAGTGGCTATAAATGAACAATATTTAATCCAATTGAGAGATGATAGCAAAAGTACAATTGTTTTATTGTTCAGATTCATCTCTTCTAAAATGCAATCTATCAAACAAAATTATGTTGACCGCAGGAAGTAGCAAATTTGAAACAAATTCAGAAATCAGCAACCAAAAACAACCTTAGTAAATTTAAATGAAAAAGAAAAACATTATTATATAAACAGACGACGAAACGGATCAAGTCTTTATGCAGTGTTATAAAGCCTATATTGTAATTTCAAAACCTCTATATTTTTAGGATAAAAAGAAAGATGATACTTTCTTAGACCTGGAATAAAGACAAGAAAAGGAATTGCAAATCTTGAAACAGTTCCATGCCTAATAAAAATAGGAATACTTAAAAAAAACTCAAAGTTCTTAGGCAGGCATTAAAATATCCAATTAACTATTTTAAAATTCTGGATTTATGTCTCCTAGATCATATCAGAACTTTTTTGATTTTCAAAATGAGTCAAATACCATCAAATCAATAGTTGAAAGTCCATGTATGGAAAAGATTGCCAATACTAAGATTTCTAAATAAGGATAACTTAATGTAAATATAACATTCATTTTTATAGTAGGGGGATAGTTCATAAGGATTATAATTCTAAATTAATCCTTAATCTTAAAATGGTATTTTGAATCAATTAAATGTAGATAAATAAATAGAAGTCAATTTTTGACAACTAATAAACAAACCATTAAAACAAATAACCAAAAAAACCAAATATAAATTAATTATTAAATATCAGCTTGAACATAAATGCCTATCCTCCTCCGTCTTTTCTCAAATGATTTTGATTTATTTTTATCATCTTTTCTTCAATTATTAGTTCATTCAAAATAGAAAATCACAACACATCATATAAAACCACTAAATCATTCATAATACAATATGATTGGTAAGTCTAATCATATGTATAAACTGTACTTCGAACTTTTGTGAAGAAAATAAATGTTGATTAAATAAATCTACAAAATGAATTTATCTCTACAAAAAAATGAAATAATAAAACATCACCTTAAGAACAAAACAATAAATCATTAAATTTATTTCCCTAAGATTTTTATTTTTGGATTATTAGATACTAAATTTTGGTTAGGCAAATTATACTCCTATTAAATTGGTTGTTATTAGAATTGAGGAATTTATTAATTATTTTGAGGTTATTAATGATTTTAATTATACTGCTGTTAACTTGGATTGCCACTCTAAATTTACGCTTAATACAGTTATTATTAATGATTTTATTATGGCACTGATTGATTTTGACTTTGGGGATTTATATTATAGTTTTATTATTAAGGCATTATGTTTAATTGTTATTATTAAAATTAACCTTAATTCTATTATTAATATATTATTAAATCATTAAGATTTTCTTACTACTTCTCCTTATTTTGTTATATTTCCTAATTTTTCTGATTTTTTTATTGTTATTCTTCAATTTTAATTGCATTCTAAATTTCAAGCTATCTTTTCCTTTCGAAATATTATCTTTCTTCTTGGATTTTATTATTATATTTTGTAGCATACTCCTTATTAGCTTTGATAACATTTTAGTATTCTACTTTATCTAAACTTAATTAGATAAAGCTTAAGTCGGCAGGGTAATCTGAATATGTTGGAATTTCATGAAAAGTCTAAATAACTCTATTAATAATTTGCTCTAAGGTCAAGGACCTTTACCAATACCTAATATTGAACATGCTAATACTTTTAGCTCCATTCTGGATGACAATAGACTCCACTGTTTGGTATGATATATTGATGCCTGAATTCCTTTGGGAATTCTATTCTCACTGGTTCTAAAGGATAATTGAAGTATTTAATAATGAAATAGTAAATTGCACTACTCCAAAGTGAGAGTTATTTCCCTTCAAAACCCACTCTCACCTATTTAAATTCTTTTATATGTTCTATATCAGTATATTATATATGTCCTTGATAGTCATCATCATCATCATTTTTATCTTCTTTTGGACTTGGTTTATTTGCATTATCCTTTTTCCATTTCAACATTTCTACTTCGTTAGCAATTCTTTGATCTATGAAAAATTCAATTTGCATTTTTATAATTTTAATATTATCATTTTTATAATTAATTTGTTAAATTAGCTTGTGAGGGGTAAGGGGACAAGGCAACTGAATAAGGATAGCTATTTAGACTTTAGAGGTTTCCAATATGGTTCTGATTGTAAAATGATCTTTGATTGTAGATGCCACTCTATCCTTGATGGAACTCATTGGACTGAAGCATCACAATAGATCGGAATAATTTAGGATCATACATAATTGAACCTAAACTATTAGGATTAGACAAATAATTCTCTTGTTACATTCCCACTTAATTATTATCAGTGGTTTTGTTCAGATAAATATAGAGTTGTTCAGGGGAGGCAAAATAGATATGATTGTTTTCTTTATTGATGAGACATGGCATGAGAGTAGCTACTTCATCATCATTAAGCTATTAGTCTTTGACTTGCAATTATAGTTTTTCAATGTTCTTAAAATTTGAAATCTTTTACTTAAATTCCTTGTAAAATGTTCCTTGCTATTCTATTCTAACTTTCTTGACAACGTCTAAATGTTCTTCTTTGACAGCATCGGTCGGTTCCTTTTGTTTGATGTTGTCACTTTGTTGAATTCGCCATTCGATTTTCTTGATGATGAAGTTAATGAGCTTAATTTCTTCATGACTTAATTCTTCAGTTGAAGCTTAGTTTGAAATAGAGTTTTCTTCAGATTGACTTTCCTCTTAATCTTTTTTCCTTTTAATAGTTCACAAAATTCTACCCAGATTTATTGCTCTTCTCTTTTCTTAGTAGACAATTAAATCGATTTTTGACGTTGTTTTCGCTTCTTGCAACTTTTAGTTTTTTTGAAATCAAAGCCCATTTTTTCCCGAATTCTTTAGCCAAACACATCAGATCCAAATCTTCACTTAATTGCCATGGGTTTCTTTTGATTAAAATTTAAATACTGTACCTATTGATGTTAGGGTTAAGATGATTATTCCATCTTTCTCTGCATTGTTTACCATTTCTATGGACTTACTGATCATTGGCTTTATTGAGAGCCGTGGCAATTTGACTCCATTTATTACCCTTGTTTTAGGTTTAGAATTCATAAATTATCTTTTGTAGCAAATTATCCTCAGCAAGTGTCCATGGAGCTTATTGCAAAGGAAGTTTAAGCATTTATAGCCATTTCTACTTACATTTGAATGCATCTCGACGAGGCATCATACTGGCAATGGAACTCCAATCGATATCGTTCTGTTATAGACAAATAATTTTGTACTAGTTATTTTAAATCTCTTTTATTTATTGTAACCCACTTTCCAACTAACCAAATCAGAACCTTTTTATCATCATCAGTCCAATTTTTTTTGGGTTTGTTTGGTTAAGTTTGTAGATTAAGTTTATTAGTTTGTTGGATGTTAAACACTTCTTGGTCCTCGGGAAATGAGTCAATTTTTAGATTAAACTTTTCTTTCATTTAATTTAATCTGACACTCATCACACCTTTGACTTTTGAGTAGAAGTTTAAGAAATTCTAATGAAAATCATCCATTAACTGTGTATCAATTTACTACATTTAATTTTATTAATGTGTTAATAATCATGAGAGTTATATATATATATTCTACAATATGTAATATCCTTTTTAATTCCGACTCTCGTTTGTCCAATCACTTCCACAATCACACCAGTCTTTTCAAGATACATTTATTAAATATTGAGCCAATCAATTCTCTATGGCTGATTTATTAATTTTTGTTCTAAGTCCCCCATACTTTAGATTTTGAACTTTTGGATCATCAAAAAAGATATTTTTAATTAAATTATAAATATATGGATTTTCATTAATAATTTATAACACACTTAATAATTACGTGCATTTGAGTTTAAAAGTTCTTCTACAATACATCCTCATTTATTTCAATTTTTTATGTTCTTTTAAGCGAATACTCCTTTATTCTATGTAATAATGTTAAATTTAATTTACTATTTATTACATTTCATCCTTAAGTAAATAATATTATTGCTTAAAATTGTCAACAGAATTGAATAATCACTATATTTTCACAAATAACAATATTATGTAAAGCAATTGCGTTCCATCACTAAAATGTAATATTCGAATTCTTTTGCAAATCTTAGATTTATATTCTCTGAATATATTATTCACACAGTAGTAATTTAACTTCTCAATTTCCACCCTTTAGAATGATTAATAAATTGTATTAGTTTCACTCTTTTTTATACTCTTTTAACATTATCAACTTAAAATAGAAATTTTATTGTCCTTCTAGAAAATGGCATCGGTGATTGTATTAACTAGTTAACAATTTTCGTAATTACAAGTTCTTTTCTATGATATTCCATTTTGATGGAACACCCATTAAATTACTTTTAAATTTTAGATTAAATTCTATAAACATTACTTCCCAATTATTCTAATACCTACATTTTGTTTATCCTATTTCATTATTAAAATTAATACTCATATAAATGCAAAACCTTGTACAAAGTGGTTCAGATGAAGAAACAGAATTTATATTCGATTCTAACACAGTTCAACTCAACGAAAGCAAAAGCAAAATTTCGAAAGCAAATGTAAATTGTGGAATCTCATTATTATTATAGGATGAGATCAAGCAACTGAATGATTAAAATAAAGAATTGGCCACCCAACTCAATAAATAGAATGAATTGCTTGATTTAAAACATAAGTAGAATTAATAGTTGCAAATCGAAGGTATCCATGATGTTTAAAATATTTTAGTATCAAAATTAAAGGATGCAGTTGACGATAGAGAACTCAAATTACTATAATCTATGAAGGAAAAGCAATCATTATAGAATGAACTAATCGGATTGCACGATTTATTGGATCACACTAATTAAAAAAATGATCAACTTAATTCTGAAGTGTTTGCTATTAGATTGACAATGGAACAATTATAATGTAAGCATTGTATGATAACCATTTAGAAACTGCTACCATGTGCAAGGAGGACACTAATTAAGCTTTACAAAGAGAGTTGAGATTAAAAGAGAACGTTGAAGTCTAAACCAAAACAATCAAATAATAAGAGGAAACAATTAGAAAAATCACTAATGAACTCAATCAAAAGTAAGCCCAATTTAGGATTGATCTCCAAAATAGAGATAATGTAATTTAAGACTTAAAGAGAAAACATGATTTGTAATTGTAATAGAATACCGAAATAATCTCTGAATTAATTGAATTTAAGAATTAAAACCTGTAGAACTCAGTCATGAGTAAGGATTACAAGCCAGAACTTACTAAAATGACAAAAGAGATCGAAGAATATAAGAATTAAATTAAAGGATAAACTCATTAGTTAAGCATTCAAAATGAAAAGGTGTTAGCCCTCTAAAATTAGTTGGCAAAGTCTGAATCATCAATTTCAGATCTTTTCACAGAACTCCAATAAACAAAATTAAAATTAAAGGAGAAAGACTAAGAATTATAAATCAAACTAGGAGAAAGTCTGATAACAATCGAAAAATTAAATACTTAAATTTCTCAAATGGCTAATCAATTACAATTGTTAAAATAATAGGACCAAAAGATCAATTTGGTTAGAAGTATTTCATAACCCTCTGATGAAAAGTACTTAAAAGATTTACAATAAAAAAATGATCAAATTGCTATGTTACAAAAAGAGAATAACCAATTAGTTAAATTAATTGAAACCCTCTAGAGTTAGAAAAGTATATTCATTTATTAATTTATAGCTGACATTTAAGGAAGTGAAGCTCTTAAGGTTAGACAATTGGAATCAGAACTGAAAAGTCTCTAATCATTCATTTATGACAGTCCTTTGGTGGTGTTATTTAATCTCCTTGAAGACAGATTGTCGAAATAATAATAAAAGAGTTTTGAGAATAAGAAAAAGATTCAGGAGTTTTGGAGCAATCAATTAAAACAGTGGGTAGAAGGTTTTGAGGAATTGAAAAAAGCATTTAATGGTCTTAAGATCCAATTCAAATATGACCTCAAGTATCCGATGCCAGCTCAATAGTAAAATGAATGAATATTTGATATGAAATTATATTAAACAATAATAAAAAATCAATTAATATTATGAAAATACAATTTTTATTATATAAATTTAATCAATCATCATCATCGGAACTGGAACTACTAGACGAACTACTAGAACTACTGGATGATGAACTACCAGATGAATCATCGGAACTCAATGGATTGGCATCCTTCAGCACTCTAAATTCGTTCTTGTCAATCTCATCTAATTTAAGTGCTCTTTCATACAAATCGGACCTCTTCTCTTTAAATGTCTCCATCAATCTTTGACTAAATTTTGGCCTTTCGCTTCTTACAGATCTAAATGTAACACATTTCCTTTTACCTCCAAATCTTATCAAAGTTATTGATTGACATGAAATTCTAAGTCAGAGCCACTGAGTTGTCTAAATTTAACACTGCATGCCACCAACCCCCAGGAACAAATATCGTATCTCCAGGACCTTATACACACATTACAATCTTTAGATTATCAGCTCCTTCTTTCTCAATCAATTTTGGCAAAGCATAAAGGAAGTAATCTATGGATTCATCTAACACTTCAAAATCGATTTCCTTCTTGGCAGCCAGTCCTTTGGCTTTTACTATTGATTTTGGTATATCTGGAGGAAAGAGAACCCATAATTTGTGTCCCTATAATGATGTATTCCATGCACTAGTCATTAATGGATCTATATGTACTGTAGTGCCTGATCGTTTTGGTCTAATAAGTTAAATAATGAATTACCCAACCAAAAACCATCTATAAGGAGGACGATGCTTCTCTCCCACCAAAGAAAAGAAATCTTCTTAAAAGTATTTATGTTATTTGTATCTTCCAATCATATCTGCACCTCCTTCCTTCAGATCCTCGACTGAACTAATCAGATTATTATTGACTAGTATACCTTTCAAATAAGTAAAGAGGAGAATCATCCTTATTATATACTAAGTATTCAAGAAAATATTTGAATGGCAATCTTAGCTTTTTTCCTTTGTCGTCCTCTCCAATTTTGAAGGAGGTCTCCTTATAAAGTTGATATAATTTCTCAAAAGTCCAATATTTTTCAACATTCCAATCATCAGTTGTATTGGTTATTATACACGGGATGTCTGGAATTTCGAATTGATTCGCAAATTGTTCTGCGGTGAATGTCCGTCCATCTACTTTGGCTATAGTAAAATATCTAAATCAAATAGTTATTACTTTTCATATTATTTTCGCAAATCTTTAAGACTCTTTTCATAATGATTTCTTTTATACCATTCTCTCAATCTTAAGTGACTTCTATCCTTTAATTTTATTTCTTCTATCAACTCCTATGCTTTCGAGCTCATTTCTTTTTCGAAGAATCTCGATGATTTCAACTTAAGCTTTTTAGCTGTTTCCATAATTTAATTATATTTATATCATAATTTTATCATTTTATCTTTCTATAATTTGGTTTCCAAACCTAAGTTTAACTCCCATTCAATTCAATTTTAATTTTAACTTGAATTTAATTAAGAGTCATTGTACTAATCAATTACAATTTCTTTTATCTTATAAACTTAATTTCATAGAAGTCTGATCATGTTTGAAATTGTATTTTCAGACTGGTCATTCACTTTTGTTTAGATAATAAAGTCTCTTTTCTGAAATCTTATTTAATTATAAACTCTCATAAATTATATGATAAATTTTTGAGCATATACAAGTAATATAAATAGTAATGTTCATAGTTAACAAAATTATTTCAAACAAAACCAAAATTAGAAACTCAAGCTCATTAAAGATCTTAAAATAAAGTTCATATGAATAATTATGATCAGTTGAAATACTTGTGTTCAGATCTCCTCTAATTCTTATCCTTAATTACATTTATGATTTGGAGAGCAAGTCTCTACAGTTAATCATAAATAAGCCATACTTTACAACTATCCGATATTATAAGCCATATGCTTTTATTTTAAACTTTTAAAAGCGACCATCCCTTTGAACTTGTGATCCTGACTATCTAATTTCTAAGCATGCTCATCAAAATCTGTTTTTTTAAGTAAATCCTTCTAAGCTGCGCACCCCATTATTGTTAATATATTTAATTGCTAAAAATAAGATTTTTTTATTTTTTCCAGCCAATAAAAATGCATAGCAGAAATTATATACGTCATAATTAAGTTCGAAATATTTCATTTACAATCTCCCCAATCTAAACAAGTAATATCTTTGTTAATAGCAATCATAAATCTACAGATGATGGATGAATATAGATTGGTAGAGTTCGAGTAATTATAATAATTTTACATTATTAAAAAGCAAATGAGGACAAGAATTTTATAATTGAATTGAAGCCATCTATTTTATATTGTTCCAAGACATATTTCCTTTTCAATTTGGTACTCAAACATACTATTTATGAATAATAAAGAATGTTTAAAAATCACATATATAAAATGACTATATTTTCATCCTTATAATACTAATTTACAATAAAAATAGTGAATCCTCATTTCTGAAATCTATTTTCTACTCCCAAACTCTCCCTTATCTTATTGATGTTCTCCTCATTTTTTTACTGCTCTCTAATCTATTAAACCAATTAACTTGCCCTCTATTTAGATATCATCAACGCCTTCTACAAAATTTCATTCAGATCATCGTCATTATCCTTAAATTTATCCCCAAATACCCTTGCTAAATGCAGATACTCCACTTTCTTTATCAATTTCTATTCCTACCCGTCCTTCTTTGATTCTGTAAACCCAACAGCCTTTTTCTCCTCCTACAAGATTTATTAAGCTCTCAAATCCTCATTAAACTAAACAGTATAAGGACTGATAATTATCGTGATTTCCCCCTTCAACTAAGCAGGAGTAACAATTTAAGGATCAGTCAATTATTCATATATCTCTCTACATTTTCCTCTTATTTTCTTTTCATTCTACTTTGTTAAATCAAACCCAATCCAAACTTACTGATTTTCCCCAAAAATCTCTTCAATTTTCAATATAGTTTGATGAATCCTGTTTGGAGATTCAAACAACACTATGGTTTATGGTTGTTTCTTATACAATGATAAGATGTCCTTGTTGTTATCTTAAATTGAAAAGACTCCTAAGAAAGTGAAATTATCAGCAGGAAATCCGCAAGCACTTAGAGCTACTGAGATAGCACTTGCTCCTGGTAATACTTCAATTTGAACATTCCTCTCTATACACTTATTTACAAACTTGTATCCATTATCCGATATTGCTGGAGTTCCACTATTACACACTAAGGCTACATTCAATCCCATTTTCATCATAGCAATTAATCTATCGATTTTTTTGTCATCATTAAAGTTAGTGCAACCAATGATTAAGCCTCTTCCTTTTTATTTCTTAGCTTATGCTACTTTATTTCTTAAATACATCATCAAAGGTGCACTCAAACCATATACTTCAAATTCAGATGGGTTTATTTCCTCGTCTTCTTGTAAGTCTTTTTACTTTTAAGATTCTCTCCCTTGTTATTCCTTAATTTCTTCTAGTTTCTTCTGCTTATAAAACTTAAAATCTGTTGATGTTATAAATTCCTTATTTAATTCTGGCAATTTCCTAAATACTAATGGCTTATATACTCTTTCAATTGGTTGGTTGATTTAAATATTACATCCTAAATTTGGATGTCTTCCTCATCCAAATCGCATTCCTTGGCATCTTCAGGAACAATCATTTAATGAATGTTTCCATCTTTATTCCTTATGTTCTTGATGAAAAATCCAGTTGAATTAATATCTGAACAGGCAATTACGTCGACTCCGAATAAGGTTAGGTTTTATCTTGAACTCCAATCTGAGATGTTTCCTATTGGGATTGGACAGATTGTTAATGTTCCCTTTGTCTGTGACATTTAACCAATTTCAAGAATTTCATCCTAGGGTTTATATTAAATTTATACAATTTTAGAAGAGAATTGTCGCACTAAACGAGTAGCATATCTGATCATCAATAGTTTAAATTAATTAATATTGTCATATGGGAAATAAATAATAATAAGGCAAAAAGAGAAATAGCAATTTGAGTTTGAATAGTATGGGTAGGTCAGTTTCAACAGCTCCCACTAATGAGTCAGGTTTGATTAGATTTACAACTGACGGTAGCTTGAGTTCTTCGATGTTCGGAGGAGTTGAGTTTTACTTCAATCGCATGCCCAACCCAGTCATTGATGGAATATGTAAATTCCTGACCATACATGATCTCACCAATTTATATTGCACAAGTAGGTTTGTATATGAGAGATTCTATACGTCTCTGCCTTACTCAATTGCATGTGGGAATCTATTGTACAAATAGTATGAAGACAGAAGAGGCATTGCATAGAAGGCAGTACAAACCAAACATGCGTCTTGGCCACAAGTGCTAGAAGTTTTCATAGAGAATAAGTAATTTATTCATCATTATGAAAATTGTAGAAAATAAATGTTAAATCTGCAAATAAATTTCAGACAAGCTTTGCAGAATGCCTATCAATTGCATATCATTTACCCTCCGCTATTAATGGATGAAGTGACAAAGGAAGGGTTGAACTCAGATTTTTAGAGATAGATTATGCAAAAATTATCAGATAGTTAAGAATGCCACACTATTACTGAAATCTAAATCATGAATCAGACGAGAGCTTATTTCAAAAAGTCATCACTTTAAAAATAGCAATTGACCAATTCAATGTTGGAGATTAGAACAATCAAATTATTCTCGGTAGATGAAAAGTAACAGTTTATAATAATTATTTTTAGATTGCCTTAATTATTTAATATTTTAATAATTTTATTTTCATCAATTAAATCTCTATTATAAATTGTGGCATTGACTCTTGAGTGTGCATTCAATGGAACTGATAATATTGGCCTCCTAGATTTTTATCTTTATAATTATTAAATGTATCTTATTTGGATGCAACAACTTGATGAATTTGCTACCCCTTATCTTAAAATGTTCGACATCATGTTACTCGAACAATTGCCTTCATATGAATTTCCTCCATTTACACTCTAATGGATTATGATGAAAATGTGGAATCAGTGCATCTATCAAAAATGCAAACATTTTTTAAGATCTATTTTCCTTTAATGGCTTTAATAGGTTAGACTCAATCCCTCTCTCAAATACGAATCATTCTTGCTAAAAGATTACATCTAATCCTTGATTGATCTTTCAACAAATCAATCAAATATTAGAATGGCTGGACATTCAAAATTTACATACATAAAAGACTTAGAAACTCTTTTCTAAGTTGTAATAAGTCAATCAGTTGAACTTTGGAATTCCAAAAGTTTTGATTTTAAAACAGATATAAGTGTGCTTGGATATATCTTTAAAAAACATATTCTAGAAAACAACCTACTGCATAACCTTTTAGAATAAAAATACGAAACTGTTAAAGCTTCCATTGAAGCAATCAAATAAAGTTAAGAATTCTAAAAAAGAACATCAAAAATTGATGATAATAATTAAATTCTATCAGAATAAGCAGATTACTCATTTCAATTATTAAATATAAATAAAGTATTTTAAAAGATCAAATAGATAATCAATGGTGAAAGTATGATGGATGAAAACATAAGATTAACAATTAATTACTAAAAAAATATACTCGATAAGGTATAAATGTATATTAGAGATTATCATCCTGATATTTATGATGAGATTTCTTAATTAGCCAATCTTGATGTGACATCAAGGGAAAGCGTTCAAATTCGTGATGCTGTAATAATACATCGAACAAAGTCAGAAAAGTATGATCATCAATTAGTGTCATATGATTCTGTAATTGATGCTGAAATCTTGAAGTAGTTGATACACTAACAACAATTGTCTAACTAGTAAAGCACATGCAAAATTTAAAAATAAAAGACTGAATTACCAAAATTACAATTAAAAAAAAAAGAGTAAAATGAAACATTTTTTTCGATCAACATTGTAAATGGATTAAATCTTGCTTAAAGTTTAACAGAACAATTTATAAGCCAATAATGATTATATATATTCCAATTTTTTTTAGAATCAATGTATTTGAAATTGAAATAAATCATATAGATATATATAAATAACTTAATTAAATTCAAAATAATTCTTGTAAAAATTAATCGATAGAGTTAAACAATTTATTTTGTTACACGAGATCACTTTCGAAATCCTTATCTCCATTTAGTACTAGTATAGATGTGTTTTGATGAGTTTCCCTTAATAGCCATTCTTCATGTCTATTGTGGATTTGAGTCAGATACTCTTTAGAAATGGTATTCTTTAAATAATAAAAATGGCGGTAATACTTTTTCTTCATCTCTTGCTCTTTTTTGCATCCTTGTATAGCAGACATCTGGGTCTACTTGTAAATATATGATCATTTGCTTTTGGATTTTTTTTCCGAAAACTTCATCACAGAGCCAATCATAGAATTTTTCATACAAAGCAAATTCTAGATTGTTTATCATCCCATTCTTATGTCCATTGACAGCAAAGATCTCTTTGTCAGCTTCTATGCTCCTTTCACTTAGAATGAGATGTCTATCTTCAGGATTCAATGTATCAGATAGAACCTCCTTCCAATGCTTAAGTCTGCTGTAGAATGCATAAACTTGCATAGTGTAAGCCCATCTTGATGGCTCTTCATAGAAGGAACCCAACAAATTCAAAGTTGGATCTCCATTAATGCTTTACCATTCATTAACTGGTTCTGCGATAAATCTCAACTAAAAATTATAAAGATAATTTACATCTGGATATTTCTATTACATTAATCTTAGTAGAGTGCTTTTGCCAGATCCAATGTTGCCTTCAATAGAGATGAGAGTGTATTGTTTCGATTTCATAAATATAAAATAATAATATTGGAGGGATTTTTGAAATATAAATAAGAAATTCATTTCTAATTCAAATTAGCAGTTTAACAACACATCGTTTATTTTTTGTTATTGAAACTTATTATTCCAAAATCTAATTTTTGAAAATTGCCAGGATTCATGACTTAGGTCTCATTAATTATCGTTTGGTATTTGAATTAATCAGCAGTTAGATCACATAGTACAACTAAATCAACACTGGGATCAAGCAGCATAGCGAAATCATAGTTCCATTTATAACAAATCTGGTTGCTCTAAAATGTTCCCAAATATTATTAGGATATTATTGTTTCACATAGATGCTCATGTCCAGCCTAAAATGATTGGATATGATTCTTTCTTATTTCCTTCGAAATATCATTCCTTGCAATAACAATATTGAACCCTTTTATTGATAGCCTACAAGGATTACTCAAACTATGCATCATCTATGTTGGTTCCTTCATATACAATGTTAAATTAATAGGTGTTTTTGGCATAGAATAAGCTAATGGAAAATCATTGTAAGAAGGTATGAAAAATAGTAAAGTTTTCTGTAGATAATCAGCAAATTGTTTAATAATCTTCACCAATTCATTCCCATACAGTGATTCATGATTCGGGATTTGTTGACTAGAAAACTACCCCAAAAAAACTATTGCACCAGGAGGTGATAACTTATACTCTATTGCTTGTTTAATCAAATGTTCAAATGATTGGATTGATAATAAGCTTTCAAAACTAAAATTGGACAATATCCATATTTTATCAAAGTCATCTTTCAAAAATATATTTAAACTTTTTTATCTCTCTATCGTTTAATACTCCTGTGCAGAACTAAACTTAAGGATTTTATTGTAAACTCCAAAAGTATCCAATTACAATATTTCTTTTAAGTCTGAATTTTCCATTTGTGATTTAATATTCTTTTTCAAATTAAACTTATTATTAGTTATACATAATTACAAATGGAATAGTAAAATTGGTGACCTAGAAATACCCATGATGATCATTCCACTCTCCTACCATCATCAAAACACTCCCCAAATTTGCTAATCCAATGTCCACTTATTCAGGATTGTCATTTTTAAAAAAACTCTTATTATGAGCATTCTATAAGTTTATCTTAATTTTGTCATCCCCATCACTCAAATAATAGTGATTACCAAGCTATATCAATATTCTATTATACTATTATTGTATACCCCAATATGTAATAGATTTTATCTGTAGACCCATTTGCAGTGCCAATTGAACTAATTGAAATTTCATCATTGCTTTAGTAACCAAATACGTAACGAGGATCTTATTTCAACAATTAGGTGATATGTGCCAATCTATTCAATTGCATATTATATTTATCCTTAGGAGTGCATTAAAAAGTAAATCTATCTAACTCGAAATACTCTAATATGATTATTGATTTCCTTATTCTCTCTTTTAATATTGTAACTTAATCAAAGGAATTCGATTATTTCCCTTGCTTGATCATTTCAGTTATTTTCTCGACTTCATCCTTCTCTAGATATTCATAAGCAAGTTCTTTTGCAAAATACACAAATTTTTCCAGAAGAGATCTGTCAATGTATGATCCATACAACTCTTTAAATCTACTAAATCCATCTTTTCTAAAATGAATGTCCGCATAATTCAACATTTTCAATATATTGCTGACCTCCATTTCCCGCCTTATAAATTTGATGAATATATATATATTATATAAATTTAGTTCAAAAAAGTTTTTATCCCAAAACAATCTGCTTTTAACTAGTAGCCTTATTCACAATCAGAGCTAATAATTACAACTGGGCGTTTAATAGTAAAGTCTTAATATTCAACACTAATTCCGATTAATCGTACCCTTTCTGCTGTTCTAATCAAACTATAATTATATGATTACATAATGAAGTATTCTATTAAGAACTTGAAGTACTCCCTCTATATCCATCAGCAAACAAGCTTGACTTTCTTGGTTTATGCTTTCGTTACATAGTAGGTCTGCTTGTAGATGCTTTTGTATGTCTCACCTAAATTTTCTCAGCTCCCATGTTAGAATCGATTAAACCTAATCTTGCAATTCTTCTGTTGTCATGTTACAATTCACTTTTTAATTGAAAATCATATTCATTTGATGACAATGGAAACGAGATTTTTCCAAAATTATATACAAAATCCATATAAATAGCATAAGCCTTAGCAAATTCTAAATAAGTAACCCATTCATTCAATTCATCTTCTGTCTCAAGAGCAAATTAAACTTTTCTATAATTCTCAAATACTTGGTTACCTCTACTCCATTGAGAAGTAGTGACAGTTAAAGTGAAATACTAGGAGTTAAACTCTCTCTCTATTAGTTGAATGTGTTTCAAGTAGATAGTTAAAATATGCTCAGGATTATCATCCTCTTGGGAAACTCTAAATTTATCACAAATTTACTTACATTAAACATTCACTTGATATCACACAAAACCGCCAGTTCCATTATAACCCCTTCTCAGATCTTTTGTTGATATATCCAGATTTCAATAGCACATTTCTTCGATTTTAATCTAATAATTATTTAATCTTTTTTATTATCAATTATTTCTTTTCAAACAGTGTCAATTTTGGTAACAAAGTGCCTTCATCTACAATTACTGAATTTCTATTTTAGGCTTAGGTCCAATGATATTGCATTCTCGTGTACTCTTTGTTATTATGATAATCAAAGGGTTGAGGGATCTTCTATAATGCCAAAGCCACATTTTTATGTGCTTGTCTTCTTTGTGCATAAGTCATTCTTTAATAGATTGTCTCTCTAAAAAATGAATAAGAGAATCTATAATAAATATTTTCCACCTCCATATTCATTATATCTAATAGACCTTATTCATAAAGAGAGTTCAATTCATTTATTAAGAGTTTTTGTTTAATAAAATCTTTAAATGGATTCACATAATTCAATGTTTAGATGTCAAATATGTCTCCAATTACACAAGCTTATTTCAATATTAATTACTGTAATGCAGTTAATTTATCAATATAAGGACCATTGATTTAAACAGCCATCAATGGAGTATCAATGTCTAACCATTCTTCATGTTTAATAAGTGTGCGGAATTTCTTTGAAGCCATCCCGAGATTTCTTTACTCATCGAGAATTATGTAATGATTATCCAATAAATGTTTCATCAGGTAGATCACTTTTAATGGATGGCCACATGTTATCACATATAAATAATTAATACAAACAGAATTGAAATCCATCTCCTCTAATTCAGGCTTAGACTCCCAAAACATTAATGGATCTCTGACTTTTTTTAGTAATTCAACCATTTCATAAATATCATCTATAGATGAAGTTCTTTTCCTGCGTGCAAACATTGTTTATTCTTGATTCTTTTAATCTTCTTCCATACAGACAAAAGATTTGATCTTGAAATATTTTTCAAATAAATCTTACAGCTACTCAGTCTATTTAAGTCCTTTCAAATTTATTGTCAGATTGTTTGTTTGCTTTTTAATGATTTTAGTTAAAAATTCTGATTAGCAATCAGATTAATTATTAGAATTATCAAAGAAGGAAAACTCCTTAAATTTATTTCGGATACAACCAATAACTAAAATATTCTTAAAGTTTTTGAGAATAGATTTCAAGAGATATAATGATCCATCATCAGTGTCTTGCATATCATCAATCATTATTATTAGTGCTTGAGAATAGTACTCCTATATTTAATCCTCATTTTGCATTTCATTTTAGATTTATCCTTATTCTTGTTCTAAATACAAGCTGAAGAGTCTATAGACAAATTTTTTAATTGATTTTGCTAAAGTTAAATCTTCCCTAATTGTATTGGCTTTTATATCATTTACAGTAAGACTCAAAACTTAACTAATTATATTTGCAAAATGAGAATCACATTCGTAAATTTATTATATTAATTCAACATTAGCAGCTTTGTTTAATCTCTGTGCATAAGAAAGAAAAATATTTCTAAGGATAATTTTAATAGAATTCAACAATTTTGATCTACTGGATGGATTTAATGATGATATCATAATTTCCAAAAGGGTTTCTTTATTTTATAAAGATTCGATATTTTTAAGCACAGTTTTCGCTAAAAATGATTTACCAATTCCATATTCACCTTTAATCAACACCAATCTATTTTGAACATATTTGTTTTTTTTGAATTCATCTAAAAATTTTTAAATATAATTCTTTATTTAATTAATCTCTTATTTTCTGCCAACGGGTTAGAGTTCCTCATCATATTCTCTGCAATGACTATGATATTTGTCAAACACGATAACCGATTATAGATTATTGTGATATTGAAGTGATTTTGATGATTAGGAAGAATTAAAGTTGGATAAGCTAACCATAGATTGAGTATTCATCATTCTAAATTCAAGATGAGTATTGATATCTTTTATCTTCTTAAAATCCTCCTACAAAGCTAAGGGTTCGTATATCAATACCCCTTTTTCCTTTCCTTTAACTTTCCTTTCACTCCAAAAAATGGATTAGATCTTAGTCTAAGCATCACTTGCACTGGTCTAATCTATTAAGATACAGGGTGAAAATGGTTAAGTTGCAATTTACATCAATCTAGCAGCCAAATTAACACAATCTCCTAAGACTGAATATTCTCTTCGACTCCCTGAAGTTCCTACCACTCCACAGTATGCTATACCAGTGGAAATTCCAATTGAAACTTTACATTTGATCTTTTTCAATTCTGACTATAATAGAAATGCTGATTAAATGGCTCTTACTGGATCATTTTGATGACTTACAGGTGGTAATCCAAAGACTGCAATACAAGTAGAACCTTTATCATCCATTAATAGTTTATTTAAAGAGCCTTCAAATGTATAGACACAATACTGAACAGTCTTGATTACATTTTGTATTCTCTGTAATCCTGAATCTGTTTTGGCATCTGATAAATCTATACTCAAATTGATGAACATTGTAGTTACTCTTCTTAATTCACTGCCCCATCTCTCCAATCCTATTTCCATATATGGCTTAAGTGCTGCAGGGACAAACATTGCCAATTATTGTTATATTTTAGGATTCAAAATGATTGAATTTTTGATGAGAGTCGCTTCAGCCTTTAATTTGACTTTGCTGTAGGCATTCAATTTCTTAACCAGATAAAACTATTTATTTTCGTGATTGATTGTTTCAAATGTAAAGTAATCCTTTACAAATTCATAGACTTCCTTAGATATTATTGTTTCTCCTCCTTTGGTAGCACAATGCTCACTTTAGAATGCTTGCAACAATGGTTCTCCTGTTGCCAAATATTCTGATCGATTGTAGACTCCTCCTACATAGATAATGTTGATATCCCCAATTCCAAATCCTATTTTGACTGACAATTTCAAATCTGGCAATATGCATGTATCATTTAATTTATTTTGGATATCCAATGCATTTTAAAGTGCCATTCTGCAAGTCAAACGGAGTTCTTCATGCACCTAAATGATGTCTGTTTTGTAAGATGGAGGCCACACAACAATCATGGCATCTAGAATTAGTATAATTATATCAACCTCCAGCGAACTTTAGAATATCACCTCCACTTTAACTTATTGCCTTCACCAGTAATTCCATATATCTATTGATTACGAAGGCTGTTAACTCTGGCCCTTCGTTTCCTAATTTTGAGAGACTCTCTGTCAGATTCGTAAATCCTGAGACATCTGTGAACATTACAACACTTTAAAATGATTATTTTGCAGGTAATTCCTTAATTCTCAACAATCAAATATTTTATACTATTCATGCTATGCAAAATACTACACAACCAAAGCAGGAACATATCCCATTAATGACATCAAACTCTTTTTAGATAACATAGTTAATTAAAAATATATAATAATAAAATCATGATTCTTATTCAAAATTTTCCTTCTAGTATTCAATAACCTATTAATTATTTTACTCCAAGGTAGTAATCAAGAAGCTCTCCTAATGATCCCTTTGCTAGTCCTCGCTATCTTCCAGTGGATTGACAACATCCTAATCACTTTATGGGTCTATGGATTCCGCAGCCTTGATCAACACTTAGCTGCCATTTTCTACATCATTAAGTGTGTTATAATTGGTTTGTTATTGTTTCAACAGTTTCTGATCATTCTCAATAACTTAATTTTGGATCATAATTATGAAAGCATTGTCCTATGGCTTTTCTTAATCATTAGATTCTTTTACTTTATTCTCCTCTTCATTTGCATTTGCTCTCTAAATCTCATTGCTTTCAGTCATCTTACCAATGGTATCTTTCTTTTCTTCTTCTTCCACAATCTTGAAGAATGCAGTTCCATTAAATTTCCCCTTATCCTTATCCTCATCTTAAGTTTATGTTTGAGTTTATTCTTAATTCTGGGACTATTAAATTAAAAATAGCCCAGAATCATTAGAAAAATTCTAAACAGCTTCCTCAACTACTTCAACTTAAACCTCATTCATAGGTTCATCTACCTTAGGTTATTTATCAATCTCTGTAATCTTAATTAGAATGGGAGGAGTATTAGATTTCTTAATGGCATCTTCTTAGCCACTAAGTATTTTTTTAGATTTTTGCTGTTCAGGTTTGGACATATTGTGAGATGTGATTTTTTTAAAATCTAATTTTTTCAAATTCTTAGATTAACTTTTCTATAAGTAGTCCTTATTACCAACGCTTTTGCTTTTGTATTATTCTGGAGATTGTGAAACTAACTATATTTCATTTTTATGCTATTTGGGTTTGGTTAAGACCAATTGAATTTCTTTATGATATTTCTTATACTAATAAACGGGTTTTTATTATTATGAACTCCTGACTGAGGGAAGTTAGGTTGTTTAATCAGATCTTATTTATAATAACTTTTATTATTAAGAATCGGGCTCTCTGTGACTTTAGATTTGATCTACAGGCTTATCTGTGATGGTCTTTTTGATAGTATTGTCTTACACAGATTCATAATTTTGAAAACCAAAATTATGATCGTCTGTTTCCTACAACTCAATATTTTGATTTCTCTCTAGTGTCTTTGAGGCAGTATTAATGTTTTTAGTTGCTTAATTGTGGATTTTATATTATTATTCTCTTCCTCTTTAGGTCTTACTTACAAGACCCTCGCTCTTCTTGATTTAAGGCAATTTTGAAAAGTTCTTTTGAGTTTTGACATTCTCTACTTCTTTTTTACTACCCAAAGAATTTGTTCGCAATTTTCTGCTCAATTATTCGGTTGCTTAACTAATTTTTCGTAATTCATCTTGCTATTTCGATATTTTATTGTCCATTTAATCTTAAGGAAAATATGTAATTACTAACTGTTAAACATTCTGTACTGTTGTAATGAGAGAATCCAGAAATGTTACAAAGTGTTCTTTAGATAATGATCTTGATACATTTGGAACTTTTTGAGTGTTGGAGACTTTAGTAGCTGTCTTATGCTGAGGTGAGCTGGATTAATTTAATGGTTGATTTTATTTTTATTGATGCTAAACTTTATGTATTCATCCTTACTATAGTTTAATCAAAGGACTTTGATTGCTGAGGAGCCAGATTTCTATGGCTCATCCTATCTTGTTTCATTTTGATCACTTGTTATCTCATTTGCATATTAAAGAAGTATTATTCTAAATGACTATCCTTCTCAGCCTTGTAATCGAGCACCTTTCCTCTTCTCGCAGCTGACACCCCATCCAACAAAAAAGGGGGCTTTATTTTTGGCTTTAGTTGTTGCATATAATTTTTATAAATGAATTATGCTAATCCATTTTCTTTATCATCTCATGGAAGCTTCCTAAGTCCCAAAGAAAACCCCAGTTTTTTAACCAGCTTTCTCTCCCAAAATCAATCAATCAGATCAGTTCAATCAATTCCCACTAAGATGAGTTCCATATCACATCAAAAGAATCCAAAGAAAACTGATTTGGTATCCCCCAGATCCAAGATTGTGACCTTGCATGAAAATAGGAAAATTTAAAAGAAAAATGTAGAAAGAGTTAAATACGTTTCAGAGCATTCCAACACACCTTACTTGTACATTTCAAAAAAACAACCTTAAATCCGCATTCCCTTACTTCCCAAACTGTCACCCGAACCTAAAATAGAAGTACAAAGAATGCCTTATATAAATATCATGACAGAACCAACTGCTGCAATTGAGGAACATAGTGACGAGGGAAGAACTAATGGCGAAAAAAGTGTAGATGATAAGTAATTAATTTTGAATAAGTCCAATATCTTACTCCATTCTTCCGATATCACACAGAACTAAGAAGACCTATTATCAGTAAGCAAACTTTCCCTCAAGTCACGTTTTAAATCGGCAGTTCAAAAATCCTTTCGCACTCCACCTAGGAAAGTATTATCTTATATAATTAGTCATTATTTAATCTCCTTATATCAACTGAGTTTAATACTTATCATGAAAATGAGAGAAAGTCCATACAAACTAAATTCGAACCTGGAAATTAGGTGCTGGCCTCTAAATTAATACAAATGAAAAAAACAACCTGCAGGAAATAATGCATCAAAACAACGGAAATCAAAAGACAGTCTCGTTTCATAAATGTGGAACAGTTTAGTGCATCAACTAAGGCATTCTAAAGAAAGATTAATTTAATACATGGAACAAATTCTAGAAATATGTTACAATTAGAATCCTTTTCCTTACTTCCTAAATCTTAAAGGAAATCTGCTAGTTTTGTTCCAAAATTACAAGCCAATATTCAATTAGGAATATCAGACAAGGTAAATGAAAGGAATGAAGAACTCCAATTCCATTAGAAAGACATCAAGGGATCTGAAAAAATACAAATAAATTTAACTGTAACCTTTGAAAATGTTGACAAGGCAGTGTACTAATTTAATAAACCAAAGCATATCTATCAGAATAATATTTTCTTTAATGAAGAAATGTCGTAATTATAAAACATCTCACCGAAACTAACTCCAAGAATCCTTCCTATTTCTTAGCTATCGTCAAGTAATCATCTATAACTTGCCTCTACTAAGAAATTGGATTATAATTCAACTTTTGTCAATGTAAAAACAAAAAGAGTTTCTAGACTATCAGTTCAATAAGGAGTGACTTAGGATGATGTATCAAAACTTGAATAGTAAAATGAATTCAATAAAGTATTCATTCATATAAGATTAATAGCCTGGGCTATATGTTCGAGTTTATTATCAAAATAAGTTATATAAGCTGATATAGAAATCCAATTATACAAAAGAAAATTTAGAAGAAATCGAATAAAATTTTAGATCAAATTTTCCATCTCCAAATAGCAATACACTAATGAACACTGCTTTCACAATAATGTCAACAATAGAGTAGGGAATGAGATAGAGAAAAATCACGAATGAATCATTAGCAGACAAAATCTAATTTTTGGGAATAAGATTGTCGAAATATTAAATAGAATCTGAAGAGTTAATCTTTGATTATGATAACGAAACATCTTATGACAATACAGAATCTAGTGATGATTCAGAATCTGAAGTATCCTTAGATAAATTGTTGGAGAGTCCCTTGATTCCCATAAGTAACAATTTAAATAAATTAAAGCTAGAACCATCATAACAAAATAAAAAGACTTCTAAAAGAAAAAAATCTCTTAAAGAGACATCAAACTAGCAAAATGATTAAACTCACTTCTTTAATGATTAACAAGCTGATTAAAAATGTAAAAAATAAATTGATCTATAGAGCTATCCACAGGAACATTAGTTATGATAAAGAAAATTCGTGAAACCTTTCATACACCGTTAACTATTTAGCCAATTTTGAATATTTTGGAATCTTCAGCCAAAAACATTTTGTTAAGTTACAGTGTTTCCGTTTGTGAAGAATTTCAGATGGAATTGGTTTAGGATAAGGATCAAATTGCAAATTAGAAATTGCAAAAATTTCAGAAAAATTCATAATTGAATTCTATGGCCTTTTAGGCAATTGAAATGAGATATTCTTAAATCCTAATTGGGAGATATCTCTGTTCAACCAGAATTATTGATTTTGAGCATTAAGATCCTGTAGTTTCGACTACAATTCAAGAGTAATTGGAAATAAATGATCAATCCTCACCCTTTCAACAGCAACAACAATAACAAAGTTCATAAATTAAAAGTCAAAAAAAAAGTTCAAATAAAGAGTCTGTTAAAGATTCAAACAACAAGAAAAACTAGACAGGTGGGAAGATACCTTAATAATCTTAAAGATATCTTACAAAATAGGAATCTCTTCAAGTAAATTAACTACAATAGTGGAATAGAAAAGCTATGCAATCTGGTGATTTATCAAATACTTTATAATAGTCAAATTAATAGAATTCAAATTTATTCACTCAAACTTCAACCATTTTAATAACAAAACCTACTCAAACATCATAATAATCTGTGTTTCGAGTTATGAGTTCCAAACACATTGATTTGAATAGTTCTTAATAGGATATGAGTTCTTCATTAAGTTCTCCTTAAGAAGAAACTCCTTAGTCTGGTTAAGTTGTGAAAACTCCATAAACATAACAATAACAAGTTACCTAAGCATCCAATTAAATATAATCTGGCCGAAATTTACGTTCTCCGGATGAAGATTCTCAGCAAGACTTGTGCGAATTATACAACTCTCATCATTTGAAAAACAATGTGGTATTTGTTTTGAATAATTTAAGAACTGCTTGAGTATGTACATGCATTCGTTAAGAATGAGAACTCACATTAAGGAGTCTTCAAGAAGATAAAAATTAGAATAAATTTAATAAATTAAGTTGGCCATCTACGATCATAATTATACTGAAGTATTGAAATTACGAATATTAGTTTATCGATAATATCTAGTTCATTCCAGAAGCTTAACTAGATACTCCTTTTTAAAGCGGGGATACTTTCCTAATTATAGCTGTTTAGTGTGGATGCATAGAGATTGTTCATGAGCTCATCAAGAGGGGTGCAGACATCAATATTTAAAATGTATAGTATTACTAAAGAAGGATGATGGCAACACTGCAGTTCATTTGGCTTTGGCATATGGGCACTACAAGATTGCGGATTTGTTAATGGAATCCGGAGGAAGCACGCATATCTTAAACAGGAAGGGATAGAATGCCTGGGGAATATTATGATACTAAATATTATTTATTTATATAAATATATTAATATTAAAAATGGATCAACAAAGTCAGAAACCCAAATTGATGAACATTTATTAGTATTGCTTTTATGTTTATCAATAGAAGAGCCAATCTAGTTTGCAACAAATTGAAAGCGTAGAATTTAAGTTCTCTAACATTTGTTCTGAAAGAACTACAAAAATCAAAGAAAACTCCAAGTACATCTTTACATACTACAGCGAGTAAACGAAATTAACAATCAAAATATAAAGATAATGTTTAGGTCTAAACTCCTTAAACTAGTTATCGTTCTAGATTATAATTAACACAGAGAAATGAATGGATTGATTTAATTAATCAAAAATCATAATAAAATCTTCAGTCTGATCAAATTGCAATCACCGAATATCGGTATTAATAAAATTCAACTTAGAACGAAAGTTTAAATGGATTCTTTCTTCTAAAATGACTGGAAATAGCCATATTATAAACAAGAAAAAATATAATAAATAATCTAAAAAGTAAATTAATATTAGCCTATCGATGATATTGATTCATGGAAACAAGTAGTGTATTAGAGACTATGTCAGAGAAGATCATGATTTAATTAAAAACAATTTTGATATATCACTAATCTATAATATCTTTAAAATATTGGTGTTGCAAAGCTTAACTTGCAGTAGGTCTTTATTCAGGTATATATTTCAGTAATTTTCTAATAATAACTAACATCAATTAATACTTTAGCAAGTCCACAAAATTTTCTCTATCCTCTACATTACTAAATTTATCATTCAAATTAATGGCTCTGTATTCAGGAAACTCCTGAAATAAATTGATATCAAAAGGAACCACTCTTCCGAAATATTTAAGATCTTCCTCTGAAAAGGAGCCCATTATTTTAAGTATTTAAAATAATTGATCTCCTTCGGATTTGCCAATAAAAATGGGTTCCAATAATGCTAATTCAGCCATAATACAACCAAAAGCCCAAATATCAATGGATTCAGTGTAATTAGTGACGCCTAGCAATAATTCAGGAGCTCTGTAGAATCTGGAAACAATATAAGGTGTATTCACAGCTGTTCCAGTCATTTCTTTAGCACTTCCAAAATCACATAACTTAAGGGTTCCATCTTGAATCAACACATTTTCTCTATTTCAATAAGAATCAAGAATTTACGGTTTTAAGTCCCTATGTGCAATATGCTTTTTATGAATCTAATCAAGACCTTGCAGCATCTAATAAAGATAGTTCTTAAGTGTTTTTGTATCAAAATATTCCTTTCTTTTTCTATGATCAATTATAATATTTTCTAAATTTTGATCCATAAATTCTAGTATGATGTTTTAAACCATTTTATTATCTTCGCTTCTGCTGTAGAAAACATCCTTGCTATTTCATTAATCATACTATCAATTTAACAACATTAGGACACGATTTCAATTGCATCAATATATCGCATTCTCTGCTTGATATTTTACCAACTTTTTGCATTCTTTTTAGGGCTACTTTTTAGTGTCTCTTAGTATCAATTGCTTCGAAAACGTAGCCTATGAAATAACAAAAACTCTGTACCGAAAGCCCCTGAACCAATAACCCTAGTAATTTCATAATTAGGTATGCTACCATGTGTTTCCATTTAGAAATTTGTTATTTTACTCACTTAAAATAAAAGTTAAGAATTTAGTATTAATAATGAGTATTATCACTCTAGTATAATCATTTTGTTCCTTTGATTCTAGAGTAAGTTCTTACGAGGATTGGAGGATCAATTGCCACCCTAATTTAAAATGATCCTACAAATTCAAACATAGGTTATTATGAATATGTAACAGCAGAACAGAATTAAATGTAATTTTACTTTTGAAATTGGAAGGATGTTTTTCTCCTGTCTTGTTCTGTCCTGATGATGATATTATTGAATCAAAATCTTGAAGTACTGTGAATTTTACACAAAAGAATGTATATATGAAAATCAAAGATGATTATATAAACAACTAATAATTTCAAATCATATATAAATTCTTTTCCTTAGTATCTAATTATAATATAAATAAAAATAAATAAAAATGTCTAGATAGGCTCCATCCTCTGCTTAAAAAGTCGATCCCAAGAAGGCTCCTCCCCCCCCTCCTCCTTAAAAAGGACCTAAACCTTTTAATGCTGAAGATTATGCCAAACCACCTCATCTAACAAAGGAGGAAGTCTTGGAAGTAAAACAAGCATTTGACATTTTTGATAATGATGGATCTGGATCAATCGACCCATAAGAATTAAGAGAAGCCTTTGAAGCTTCAGGAATCAAAACCTACCACAATAAATTTATTTATCAAGTATTGGGAGAATTAGATACTGATAATAGTGGAGGAATTGATTTTGAAGAATTTTTGCATTTAGCTACAGCAAAGGTTAGTGATAAAGATACAAGAGAGTAAATCCAAAAAGTCTTCAATCTGTATGATTGGAACAAGGAAGGTAAAAAGGGTTTATATTTTAAGGTCGCATCACCTGGGATGAATTAAAGAGAATAGCATAAGATTTGGGAGAAGAGATGACAGATGAGGAGATCTAACATATGTTCAAAAAGGCAGATTTAGATGATGATGGTTTTGTTACTTTTGATGATTTTTACAATCTAATGACCCAAAAGGAATACGGAAAATAATGATATCAGATAATGATAAACATATAAATAAAAAGTATATATCACATATCAATCATTTATTTGAAAACGACTAGTATCTTATATTCCATTTTCTTTATTTGATATTTATCTTAGTTTTTATCATTAATTGCCCTTAAGTTAAATATTACTTCACCTTGATACTCGAGAGATTCTGTTCCCCTTTCAACTATTAATTAATATTAATATATATTAATAAACAAAAATTTTGTAAATATGTAAGGAAACAATGCAACTGAAAAAAAGGTAATAGAGTTAATAGAAGTATCGCTGAACCAAGATCAAATCCGAACAATCTTAAAATAATAATAAAAAGAATTTCGATAATATAGTGTTGAGAAAAGAAAGTCTCTCATATTACAAAGAATTGAAGATATTAAAAAAGACAGGATGCTTAAATCTGATGGAACAGTACATCATTCCGAAGATTTTAGAAAAGCCAACAAAGCTCTGGAGTATTTCTAGCCTGAATTCCCTATCCTTAAGTTTCCTGTATTAATCATCCTTATTTTAGGAAGACACTGTGTTAAATACATATGATAAAACTAAAAGGTGGTTGAAAGAATTCGATTTCCCTAATAAAAAATAATATTGGCAAGAGTTTAAGAAGAGAAACTTTAAACATTATCCAGGATAGCCTTTTAGTTATGCCCCGGGAGTTCCTACCTATTTTGAGGAATTCAAGGCATACCATCACATAGAACATGAGGAATCTTAAGTTGAAAAATATCAACGACTCTAATAGTATAATATTTTATATCATCCAGGAAAAAAGTTTTTTATGTTTAACCAACAAAGGTAGTTGGAGGTGAATTTAGTAGACCTATTTTCGATAGGACTCATGTCCATGTAGAATTAAATCCTATTCATTAAGTGCAATATCTACCAAATCCTGTTTCTGCAGATTCAACTGACTATAGATAATTAAGTAGATAATCAATTAAATCTAAATTGAATGACATGCAGAGAGTTAAAGCATTTACTTCATGTAGTACGAGAAGTTAGATATTTTAATAAAAATACAAACCGTTGAATGCTGAAAGGACTTAGGAGACAGCAAAATCTTCGAAAAAACCTAATGAGGATGATTTTGATATTTGATAAATATGTATTTATAGATATTCTCTCAAATATAGAGACCCTCTGGAATGTTTCCTTTTTTCAAATATAATATCTTTTCTTTAGCTTTTCTAAAATCTTCTTATGTTATTTTCATTCTTCTTTCTCTTAGAGCAAGTAAACCAGCTTCTGTACACATAGCTTTGATATCAGCTCCAGATAATTCATCTTTAGCATTAATAAATTCGTCTAAATTTGCATCCTAATTATAGAAATAAAATAAGTACCTCTCCTAGATTCATTTTACTAGTGTGAATTTAAAAGATCTTCTTTTTATTTTTTACATCAGGTAATGGGAATTCTATTTTTCTATCAATACGTCCAGGTCTAATCAATGCTGGATCAAGAGATTCAATCTTGTTTGTGGCAAGGATTACTTTAACGTCTGCTCTTGAATCGAAACCATCTAATTGATTTAACAATTCAAGCATTGTTCTTTAAATTTCTTTTTCGCCCCCAGAGTGTGAATCATATCTCTTAGTACCAACAGCATCAATTTCATCAATGAATACTATACTAGGAGCATGCTCTTCAGCAACTCTGAATAACTCTCTAACTAATTTGGGACCATCTCCTTGATATTTTTATATCAATTCTGATCCAACCACTCTTAAGAATGTTGCCGAAGTTTCATTGGCAACTGCCTTAGCCAAAAGTGTCTTTCCAGTTCCTGGTTCTCCATATAAGATGACACCTTTTGGTGGTTTAATACCCATATCCTCATAAATTTCAGGGTGTGTTAATGGAAGTTCCACCGCTTCTTTAATTTCTTAAATCTATTATTCAAGACCTCCAATGTCTGCATAAGATTCAAGTGGAGCTTTATCAACTTTCATGACATTAAGAAGTGGATCAATTTCATCTTACATTATACCAACAACTGCATAAGCTAAATTATATATCAAAAGTGTTTTTACATCTTTAATTTAAAAGAACAGAGCATCCTGGCTCCAATTAATCTTTGTCAACAAAACTCATAATTCCTGAATAACTTTCTGGACCAACTGAGGATGATACAATAGCATGATTTTCATTTACAAATTCTTCCAATGTTCCAACACTTTCAAATTAATAAATATTGTTACATCATTGGTGTTCCTCTAAGCTATTCTATTTTTTTCTACTCTTCTGATTCAGCTTAATCTTATTCTTTTAATGGCTTTAATCTTTATTAATTTTCAATGAATTCTTATTCTAAAAGTAAATAGTCTTTTATTCTCTCATTTTTTAGTAATTTTAATCTACACTTAGCAATTGGGGTTGCTATGATAATATATATCATAAATACCTGCTGGTAATTTGGATGCCTATTCGACACCTTTTCTAAGCTTTTTCCTTCCGACTCTTTATGGTGGAGGAGGTGGTTTTTTTTGCTAGTCCTTGTTTTAATTGTTATTATTATCCTGATTATTTCCTCTTCCTTGATTAGGATTGAATGGATTAAACCCTTGTGGATTTTGATTTCCCATAGCGTATATTTTTAATTTAAATTAATACACCAGTATTGATAATTTTATTCAAATAAATAGTAATTTAATTGTCAATTCTCAATAAACAAAAGTTTAGAAATCAAATTGAGATAATTAGAGATCAATAAATTCATTATATTTCTATGATTGGATTAGAATTTACAATAATAATAATATCAAACAATTTATTAAATTTGCTTAATGCAAAACTATGAATTAGGAATTCCGATTATAATTGAAGCAAGTATTGGATTAGCTTCTTCTTTATTCTTCATACTCGACATTTCGATTCATTATAAGATGAAGTTATATCAATTGGAATTGGGGATCTTATATACTAACTTGATGTAATCTATAAGTAAATAAAATAATGATTTTAAGTCACCATAATGTTAATTCTTGACTTTAGCAATTAAATGTGTGTTTGGACATTGTTTTTGGAATAATGTTTGACTCTTTCAAGTTTTCTTTGGACCATCTTGATATTATAAAAAAGTTGTTTACTAACTAGATACCCAATATAAACAGCTTTAGAATATTTAAAGACTAATTAATTTGCAGTATTTATTATTAAATCCAGCTCTAAGCTATAATTGCATTTGGATTGCCAATAATTGCATCATCATTAATTTTTGTAAAATTAAATATATGCCAACTTGATGCACTCACTCAAGTTTCAACTAAATTATTCTGGGCAATATAATCGATTTTAACAATAATATTCATTGGAATAATAGCCTATCATATCATAAGAGTTCACTTGAATTGTAAACTTGTAAAGAATATAGAATAAATTTAGGCCAAATTATACTTAGAAATTTTATACTGCCCAATTATATTAATCTTTTCATTACCGTGGATTGTGTATACAATTTTCAATTTTGAACTAGATGATTCTGAAGATGTGAAAATCCTTCAAGGTATTTTTAAAAGTCTAAGCTAAAGGTTTATTCCTCCTAAAAAACTCATAAATAATTTTCAGTACTTTTCTTTTTGGATAAAATTCAGCCTTTTAAGTGGCTTTCCTTGAAAATGCCTGCCCAATATTAAGAAAAACCTATTTGGCAAAATATGATTTAAAAAATAAGTATATTATTGAATATTACTTCTAGAAATAACAATTCATAAACTTTAAATATCGAAATTTGTACTACTTTATGCACACAATTATTGATAAAATGATTATAGATTTATAATTTATTAAATAAAATAATTAATGGAGTTTTTTCATAGCTTATTATCATTAGTTGGTAATATTGCCATTGTTGCATTAATGTTGACAATTGGAATCTTGGCATTACTCTACTTCCAACAAAACTCATTAATTTATTTACCAGGTTTAAATTTCTTACTAATATTTAAAGCAATCTAAGGTTTATCCCAAAGTCCTAGTTAAAATATGAATGGACTCAGGAATCCTTCTGAGAGAAATTTGTAATATGAAGATGTAGAGATTGGAACTCTAGATAGATAGAAATTAAAAGGATGGCTCATTAAATAGAGTGACAGTTCAAAAGCACCTACCGTGATATTTTTTCATGAAAATGCTGGAAGTATTTTAGAAGTTAATATTAATTTCAGATATTGGAACTAGATTGCAATTTTTAGAGCTATATTTTACCAACGTCAAATGCAATATATTGATCATTGCATATAGAGGATATTCAGATAGTACAGGAAAGCCCTCGGAATAAGGTCTTTAATTAGATGGAGAATCTATCGTTAATTATCTATTTCATAGAAATGATATTGATCACTCAAAAATATTTGTCCATGGTAAATCTTTAGGTGGAGCTGTTGCCTGTCATGCTATGACTTAAAATATTGCAAAAGGCATCAGAGGTGTGATATTAGAAAATACATTTACATCGATAGATGATATGGTTGATGTCATCTTTCCTAAATTGAAGTTTGTTAAATCATTACTTCTTAAAAATCGTTGGTTGTCAATTCAAAAAATCGGTCAGATTACATAACCAATACTATTTATTTATTGTAATTCAAGTTAATTATTTGATTTTAGCAATGTTAGATGAAATCGTACCAGTGCAACATATGGCATAATTACAAAATGCAGCCTAAAGAGCAAAATTTATTGAGAAGGTATTTCATTCTATTATTTCAAAGTATGTGATCGAGAATGGTGATCATAACACTAATTGGTCTAGAGAACCAGAAAAGTACTTTAATTCAATTTCAAGTTTCATCAATAAAGCAATTACATCATGATTATATATTATAAATTAAATGCAACAAAAATATTGTGATGAATGTGAAGAAACTAGAGCCAAGATTAATTGTAATTAATGTGGTCAAATTCTATGTGAGCAATGCGACAAAAAAATACATAATAAAGGAAAAAGAGTCTACCATTCCAGAGAACTAATCGAAACATCAGATTCAATTGAATCAAACAAAATTAAATAGGATGCTCATGTGATTAGACATGAACAACACAAAGAAAGATTTAAATAAATAAATAGCAGTTTGCCATCTGTTGACGTTGTTAACTTCAATCTAATTAATATCTAGGCAGAAACACCTATGATTTTTTAGAATGAGTATTTTTATCCTTTTATTAAAGTTCTATTTTAGCTAGAATTGAGCATCACTTATTCAAATAGGCAAATAAAGGAGACCTTATGATTCATTTAAACGACTTTTAGAAATTTTTAAAATAGAATGAAATCTATAAAATCAATCAGTAAGACTCAATTTACATTTAGATCAAAAGATGTCATATAATAATTAGAGAAATTGAAAATGATCAATGTTACTATTAGAAAATTCGGGGATAGTGACCCAATTTAGTTTATTAGTCTTCAGTTAGATCATATTAGTTTATAATCATTATATTGGGTTTTATTAAATATTAGGAAGGATGAGATGACCCCAACTGATAAATTAGTAATGAGTAGAATTAAGGAATGCTACGGTTTAAAACTCAATATTTAAGATTGGAACCATTATTTGGCTGGATTCTATAAGTTGCAAGACTCTAATGGACTGATGTAATTTAATGTAAAAAAATATAAACAGAATAAGTGGATTGATGAAAAATGCATAATAAAAATGACTAAGTGTCCCATTGATTTAGTGAATAAATCAGAAAATAATAATGCTTCTCTATCAGCTTCTTAATAAATTAACAATGAATCATTACTACTATTTACAATAGAAGACAATATCAATTGGAAAATGATGGATGCATAATAAATGAGTTCCATTTATAAGAGTTAATGGAGATCATTTATATAATTTTTAAAAGATTTTTTCGATACCAATCTTACTTTAAATACAAGTCAAAATACTTAGTCATTTGGAGATCTAAATTAATCTGATTATTAGTCATAATCATCCAAATAAAGTGGAACGTAATCAGTACCTACTTAAAAAAACTAAGATAATTCAAAGTGGATTAGAAGTGTTGAATCAGGATTACAAAATGGCCAAAAGAGTTAGGAGTAATATCATAATCAAAGCTATTCTTCCAATGTTACATAAAAGTATTATCTGATTAATATAAATAGAAAAAGAAGTAAAAAGAGTTAAATTAAACCACCAAAATCTATTTAGAAAGCTATTCCTGGAGGCAAATATGGATGTGCATAACTGTTAAAATGTTGTGGTCCACTAGAATTAAGAGTATGTTCTTTGGGTGTTTTATGTCTAATGATATAAGAAGCCATTAACAGGAATGTTCTAATATACTATAAAACCTTATTAATTAAGCCAAATACTAATATAGCCTTTGATTTCAATGATTTCTTAAACATTTTTGATGATTAATTTTAAGATTAATTCATCCTTTAAAATATTTTAGGAAGTGAGGAAAATCAATAACTTTCCGTTGATAAATAATAACAGTAGCATGAAAAATAAAATAAATTAAAAGCTGTTTAATAAGCAATAATAGATATTCTAAATGAATATACTAAAGGTGTTAGTTTAGCAAGATTGCCAAAGATGATTTAACGTAAAATTTAATTTACCTTTGACTTGCATGAACTGGGATTCACTAAATTAAAATGTTTAATACAAGGTATTGATGGGATTAGTATTATAAATGATGGAACTACGTATGCTTCACTTATTTTAGACGAGTATTATGATGACACAAATGATATGAAATAAGAATAAGAAGATGATCAATAAATGCAATAAGTTAAAATCGATCTTAAATATTTTTAAAAGTAATCCTTGTAATAATAACAAAGTTCATCTAATCCGTAGCTTTAATAACAACAAATATAGCAATAATAATAATAATAGTAGCAACAGATGTAGTCTCTATCCCCAATCCATGTGTCTGAATATTAATTAAAAATAGAGGTAAATATTGTTCTTAATTTATAGCAAGCCTTAAAATAAATTCTTAATTAGTATAGTAATGGAATTCCAGCATCTTAACTTCTCTAAATACTTTAACTACATATTTAAAATACGTTCGAATATACTCAATTTGGTTGTTCTACTTTTGAAGAGTATATGGTAAAATATGCTGAAAACTATTGTGATGTAATGATTAAGATGAAAGGGTGCATCATATATCCAAAAGGATATTCATCTTTTAGATCTGCTATTCCATAATAGAAAATGCAACTTGGAATTCATCATTAAAAATCTCAATCTACTACCCTTCCAAGTTATGCTCAATAATAAAGTAATAGTAGTAGCTAAATTATTAAAGCTGACAGTAACTTTAGATTTATAATTTAGGCTTTTTAGCAGGGATGTAGAATCCTAGTCAAATGATGGGAGATGTGTAATCTTAATCCCTGACATTTCAATCATTTCAAACCTACCCTTAAAATAAAGACTTTTTTATGATTTAGGAAGAAAATAGTCATCACGAACTTGACGCAAATGTTAGATTTATAGAAGAACTATTAAAAGAGTCAGATGATGTAGAATAACAGAAACATAAAGTTTAGAGAAGTCACTAAACACATTAAGACAGTAAATAATTTTAGAGTTTGGGGCAATGGCCAAATTTAAATTCAAATGAGAAAAGATGCCATAATAAATAGAATACTTATTAATATAGTCCTCAATAAGACTTTTACTAGGGATAAAAAATATCATTAGATCTTCACAGCTGGGATCAAGATAACTGATATATATATAAAATTATAATCAATTGATAAATATAAAATAAAGAATTATAAAAATGATGACTACTATTAATTAAGTAAATGGAGGCTTAGGATGATCATTTGGAACTTCAAATATCATCCCGCCATGTCTAAAGGGGGCTAATTTATTGAGTTTTTATTCTGCCAGCTTTAATCTTTTTAGGACAGTCTAAGAAATAATTTAATGTTTTTGTTGATTTGAAATTGAAAGCATAGTTGGTAAGCAATATGATAATTTCATTAGATTTTTTGGATCAGATTCTTACAAGTATTCAAACAAACTTATATATAGAAAGTTCATACCAACATTAGTGTAACTTTTAGTAAACTTCTTATTCAATAGAGTCTAAGTTATAATGTTTATTAAAGATTTTTTCAATTGTAATTTTAATTCTATGTCTGATTTCATTCATTTCAATCAAATCATCCTCAAATACCAAAGTATCCTCAATTTCTACTTTGCCTTAACAAACAGGAAGTATTATTTCCTTTTTTTCTTTATTTCCAAATTGATCAGTGCTGTCGATAATAAATCCTTGAAGTGTTGTTTACAATCCTTGCACCTTTTCCTAAATAAATGTATATATGAATATATTATTATTCATTATTGAAACTCGATCAATTCTAGCCTTAAATTAAGCTTTTTAAAGTTCATTTTACAAATAAACTTCTGCATTGTTGAAACAATCAAAATAATCATTACATGTCAAATTGCTATCAGGTATTTTAAGTATTTGTAGTTTCAAAAATGCATATGGAAATAGATCTTGTTTTGTTTTAAGAAGTATATGATTAGCTGAGTCAACTTATTATTATTTTTATTCAACTTGCTCTGGAGAACGATTTTAGCTTCTTATTATTGTATGAATTATTATGTTTACTTTAAAACTATTAGGGGAAGTTTAAATGTAAGATCTAAATTGTAAAATACTAAAACCTGCATAATGGGCAACGAGGCATTGTACACAATGACTTATACATGCAATCAAAACAATAAGTATGCCCACATGTAAGAGTTACTGGCTGACTAAATTATTAGCAACAAAT